TAGAAAATGTCTAGCGATTTCGCTATCTATATTCGAGACAAGCTTTTCGACTCTAAAACTTCTGTCGACCAAAAATCTTACATAGTGTAAACAAGAAAGGTGAATTTGTTCTAAAGTTCTGTTTCTGGGAATATGACAAGAACCATAAAACATTACAAAGAGCAGTCTTAAAATTTGTCAATGACAGACTTGTTGACAGAGATGACGCCGATTGGAAAGATGAAGTCCAACAAAAGTTCTTAGAATGCAAAGAAGGCACATGCGCTGTTCTTGAAGATGAAATAGAAAACAGAATAGATGAGCTATTAAAGGACAAAGAACTTTTACATAAATATGGTTCTGAGAAATTTGACATAACTCCACCAGAGAAGAAGAAGAAGAGAGAAAAGAAAGAAAAGAAAGTAGAAGAAGAGAAGAAAGAACCTGAACCAGTTCCAGAGAGGTGAGATATGACATGTAAAAATAAAATTTTATTTTTAGAACATTTCTGGGTCAATGTCAATGTTCTCTTCCTCTTTAGGAGCAAACACTGGCTTAGACTCTAAAATCTTTTTACCCAATTTACCTTGAACTTCAACTATCTTAGACTCATAATATTCATAGTCGTCTGCTTTCTTTGGTTCATAAGGTATAACAAGTTTGTATGCTTTGCCTTCTTTAAGGTTTGAGAACCTTCTGTCAAAATTTTCTTTGACTGCTAACAAACCTTCTATGTCTAAGTCTTCAAATTTCGCACCATTTTTAGTCACAATAGCAAACTTAACTGGTTCGATGTTCCAAACTTTGTCAAATGTAGACTTTTCAAAATGGTAGAAGTAAACATTCAAATATATGAATGGGTCTAGTTCTTCTTTAAGTCCTGACATATATTTGTTGACTGAAATATATTTCGTCATCTTTTCTATCGGATAAAAAAATATTTTTTTAAAATTTACTCAGAAAAAATTTTCTTTGTATATACGCCATTCTGAACATCTAAAAGATTTTTGACATTTGCCAAGAATGTTCGTTTAGACGCTGCCATATAACCATATTCTTGACAATATTGTTTATATTCATCGTACAATGACCTTTCATCTAAACACTCAAAGTTAGTCTCATCTATAAACAGTTCATATACACTCTTGTTTGCTTCTAACAATGTTTGTCTTTCTTCGGTATGTGGAATTTGTCTTGGATTGAACTTTGAAATATCTAATGTCATGAAATATGAGAACAAGTGGTTGTAAAAGTTAGGTGTCAAAGTTTCTGCTAAGTCGTCAAAATATTCTGTATCTTGCATATGAGAATCTGACGTTCTGACAACTACATATCTTCTGTCAGAACTTTCTAACTTCATCGGAACAACATTGTTTGAAAACCATGACGAAGTTTGCAACATTTTCACAAACTCTTTGGTCTCTATACTTTCTTTCAACAACTCCAACTTTGTCTGTTATAAGACTCTTCAAAGCATCTGAGTTTAAAACCTTTGTTGTATCTATACTTTGAAGTTCTACATACTATAAGTTTCATATTCTCTATATGAAGAGTTAAATTTACCGCAGATGTTTTCTAAGTTTGTCATATTCGGGTTCGAATAGCCCTCTAACAGTTTGCATAAGATATCTGTAAAGAAAGTGTTCTTACCAGTTCCTTGTTTTCCAATTATAATGATAGCAGTTTCTTATAGCACTTGGATGTTGTAAGATGTTTGCAAACCAACATAAGATATACTCATAGACTCTTTCGTTTCCATTGCATATAATTTCTTTGACATGGTCTAACCAAGCTTCTATAACATTTTCTTTCCATTCTACTTGTTCGTATTTATATCCAGTGAAGATAGAATAGAAGTTTGGAGATGGTGTATAGAACTTTATACCACGAACTGAAAATCTTCTAACTTTGACAATAAGATATCCCAAGCATCTAACATCTTCATGCCAACTTGTACAACTTTTATTTTTCTTAAGTTTCTGTCTACATTCTTGTTCTGAAACTATGGTTGCTCTTGGTTTGTTAAAGACAACATCCCATTCTTTCATACAAACATTCTGGGCAGAGTCAACATAAATGACTAAACGTTTCAAATTCTCGACTGCTTTGTTATAGTCTCTAAATGGACACATATTTCTGAACGCTTGGAAGTCATAAAAATCTGAAACGTCTATTCTGTACATTTTTATAAAAATAAAAAAAATATTTTTTTTTATTCTTGACTTTGTTGTTTGCATTTGTTCCATTTGTTGCATTTGTTGTTCTGAGCTTATTTGTTGTTGAAGTTGTTCTTGTAGTACAATACTTTCACCAGTTGCATCTTCCAATTCGAAACTTTCTGCCGTCATTGACAAATACATAGGACATAAAAAGTTTTACAGGAACAAAGTTTCGTCAACTAAGGTTAATTTATGTTTGCTAAAGTGTTTGAGTTTACTAAAGCTGAAAACTCTGCATTCGAATGAACAATAGGCAAACCAGCAGAGAAAGTGTTGTTTATACGCATGAGTATCTTTTGGTCATAGTAGTTTCTGTCGACATTCGAATAACACTTTGAACCTAAGTTTGAAACAATATATAAGATTGGTGTACTTAAAGTCAATGGAACAGACATTCCTTGTATGACACCTTTTCCTGTTATAGGAAACTGTTGTAGTAAAAACCAGATATAAGTTTTGTATTATAGCTCATATCGTTTATAGTAAACTCAGTCGGACATCCAAACATAATGAAACCTGCTCTAGTTGCAGCACATGTTACATCCGTCCTTAAAGTATTAATAAGTCAACAAAACCTGTTGGTGGTATATCTGAGTAAGTATCTTCAAAAAGTATTTTTTACCATTCACAACAACAAAGTCTTCTGGTGTCAAAAGAGCAAAACAGGCTTTAGTCGTCATCGTGTTTAAGGTCAGTTTACAATATCGTCCTTGAGGACTTTGTAAGTTTGTTGTTATAGAATTATATGACTCAGGGTTTTTAGTCGTAATAGTATAAACCACTATGTCTTTGCCATTTACTTAGCAAGTAAATTTTAATGAAATGTTGTGGTCGTCAAATATTTTTATGACGTCTGGGAAACTATATTTTAAGTTCAACGTTTCACCTCCTTTCATAACGTATATCTTGTCAATGACATTATATGAAACACCACAGCAACTAACGTCGGGTTTATTTCTTTGATGTTTATATCGTCTGCCTCTGTCAAAAGTTTCAATAGTTCTTTCAAAATTTCATGAGGTGCAATGACATATGAGTTCACTTTTACAGGGTTGTGTTCGACCAAGTTTAACATTATACCCAAAGCCTGACAAATCTTCTCCTGAGTTTTTAAGTTTGTCTTTAAGTTGTTGGTAGTCATTTCGAATATCTGCAACAGAACTTAAGTCTCTGCTAACTTCAGGGTATGTTGGTTGTTCTTTTACAGGAACTATTGTTATACCATCTTCGTCTTCGTATGGTTTCCCCACTTCAACATCTCTTTCTTTGACATTGACAACAACACTTTGACTGTTTGTTTGAGTTGGTGAATTTAACTTCACATCTGCCACCGCCATTAAACCTTTTGAAACACTTACGCTTCTATTTTTCGGAAATGACATTTTACTTAGAATAAAAAGATGGACGTATTCGAGTATCTCTTCGAATTGAAGCAGAACAAAGTTTACACACACAAACAATACAAATACATTGACAGAATAGTTCTTTACACAAACAATGGAAAATGTTATAGAATAGCAGTCTTTGCTGAACCAAAATATTTTCATAAAGCAAAGAAAGTTGGTATAACTGAAATGGTGAAAGTTCTTGAAGCAGACAAAAATATAACAACAAAACTGACCGATATTTCTAAAGGTAAGTTTATAATACAATTTTATGTCAAAACTGGCGTACTGTCAATATTTGACGGAGAGAAGTCAGTTCAAGAACAACTTACTGACCTGCTGCCAAAATCTGCTCGATGGAAGCTGTCGTTATGCCAATCTGAGGAGCCCCAGCAGGTTTCATCGAACGAATCTTCAAAAGAGCATCTTCCGTGAAAAGTGCTATTGGTTTTGTAAACTTTTTGCTTTCAATTCATTTGGACCGTCTCTGTCACCAGTATATTGTATTTGAACTGTACCAACAGTTGAAATACCACCCATAAAGTCTTCTGAGTCAGCAAATGGAATGCCAAGCCAAAAGTTTGAACGGTCTCCATTTGTATATTGAGTGTTTTGAGCTCCTGTATGGGTCCATACTTTCACATATGGCATAATAGAACTTTGCATTTCAGGGTTAATGGTTGTTGTGAAGTTGTTGTTAAAGTTCATAGCATCTAATGTCAAGTTGTATGACCTCATATCCTCAACTGTAGAATATTCTTCTCTTGGATAATATTTGCCATCTATGTTTATATGATATTTAATACCAGGGTTGTAGAAGCAAGAATAGTCATTTATAGTTCGTCTGAAAAGAACAAACATAGTATCTGCATGTTTCATTGCAGTTGTTAAAGCAATATCTGTTCTTGCACCTGGGTCAGCACTTTGGTTTCCAACTTCACCTGCAAAGTCTTTGACAGATATTTGGTGTATAGGGAACATAAGTGAACTGCAATATATTTGGCAGCTAAAGCATTTGAAATATCTGGGTCCAACATATAGACTGCAAGTCTGCTTTCTATTCTCTTGCATTCAAACTTTTCGCATGTGAACTTAACTGGGTCCCAAGCATCTCCAGCAGCATTGAAATAATAGTTTACTTCAGTGTTGAGGTTTGAGAAACCAAAGTCTAAGTCAACTTTGTTTTTGCAAAAGTCGGCGAATGACATTTTTATTTGTTCCCACTACTTCTGTAAGAGTGAATGGGTCTTGTGTTGGTGCAATGACTAAGTTATTTTTGCTTGGAGTAAGTTCGATAGAAATTTTTCCTGCCCAGTTTGGCAAGTATCTTAAAAACCTGAAGATGAGGAAAGATGACAAAGGAACTCTAAGTTTCAATTTTACTTTGGTTACTGCTGCTGCAGTTTGTCCAGAAAGGTTAACATAAACTCCTGGAACGTTAGGGTCAAGTCTTCTTATTTTCTCAATAGTTGCATACTGGTCTGTTTGTTCTCTAGCTTGTGGTTGTACTGAGTTTCTCAAAGCGAACCATTCATAGTTTGCCCATGTTACTGTTTGAACTAAGTCAGAGTTAGAATATATCTTATATCCCATGAAAACTTCTGGAGCATATTGGTATCCGACATAGAAAATTCCATTGCAACCTTTCTTGTCAGACAACTTGGCAGAAGGTTTTATTTCAATGTCTTGTTCCACGTATAAGAAAGAGTTGTCAATAGAAATTATATGAAACCTGTCGCAAGCAATATCTACTGTTGTTGAAGAACCTTCTCCAAACTCACCTACGTTTCCATAAGAAACAGCAGTTGTATATTCGTAAGTTCCAGGAACTATTTCTGACCTTCTAATGGCATTGTCGCATTCGTTATACCATTCGGAAACATTTCCATTCATGGCATCCAAAACTGTTGGCGTTATATTCTGAGCGGCGTACATTTCATATGAGTAAAAATATAGAATAGTTGGATTTATATGTCATAATAGAACCCACGTGGACCAAGCTTTACTTTCTTCCTGACTGAGTTTTTAACTCTTCTTTTTCCTTCATTGCCCTCTGCTTGAAGTTGTTGCATCTTTGCATTATGTTCATCTAGTATGTTGCAAATTTCCCATGTCCTTTTTGCCTTTTGGCTCTGGTCGCCCATCTCAGGTAACCTATATCCTAGAAAGAGTTTGTCATAGTCTGTATTTGAGTCTTCGCGTATTGTTTGCATGACTCTTTCCTGAGTTTCTGGTTCAAGCTCTTCAAACAGTGCCTGTCCATATGGAATAAGCTCGTTTCCAAATATATGTTTTTGTAGCCATTCTGGTTTTCTTTCCATGTTACCAACTATATCTTTTGTGAATGGGAAAGCTTTTACCCAATCTTTCAGTCTTGCGTCGTTTATTTCTGTAGTTGGTTTTATTTTGTCAAGGAACATGTTTTTCAATACTAACATTTCATTTGGTACTGTCCATTTGAGTTTTCTTAAATATTCATCCCTTCTCGATTCATCGTCTGCAAAGTAAGTTTTTATGACATTTTGTAAACTTTCGTTTGCAAGGTCATGTACAATAGGTTCTCTTCCTTCTCTCTCCCTAACTTTCTTTCTAAACTCTTCACCAAATATACCATCTCTATGGTTCTGTGTAGTTCTTTGAGATAAATGTTCTAGAACGTCAGGTGTTATATTTCCATCAGCCATGTTCATTTCATACTGGTCCAAAATATCTGCATGTTTCATATCTTTCAATGGCATTAAAGCCGCGCTTAAAATACCAGCTATATCTTGTTCACCATTGACTTCCATTGCGTCTACAACTTCTTGGAATTGTGGTTGTAAGTTTATGAACCACCTATCCGGGTTAGCTTTATGACCCCATCTCATTGTAGTTCCATCGTCTGCAGAAACAAAAGTAGGTTTGTTTCCATCTTGGTTAGGTTCTGAATGAACTTTAAACAATGTTTCATTTCTATATGTTTTCTTGAAATTTAACCTTTTATCTTCACCGAGTTCATCCGAAGATTGAACGTTAAATGCTCGTAAGTAAAAAGGGTTGTTGTATTTGTGTACATTTTTTTTCAGTTCTTCCATTCTATGCTGGATATTTTCATCTGGTGTTGGAGTCTTTTGTATGTCGGCAAACATTTTTCGATATTCTTCTACTATGTCAGCCGAATCTTTCTTAGACTCTTGGAAAGATTCCATATTCACCTCATACTCTTGTTGAGGGTCAAGATTTTTCGGCTGTTCCAAATCTTCATCTAGTTCTGTGAAGTTAGTTTCCAAAGGAAGGACTTGTTCGTTTCCTTCAGGCTCTTCTAGCTGTTGTTGCTGAACTATTTCTTCCATGTCTGGTTGTATCTGAACTTCTTCCTGTGGAGTTTCTTGTACCTCATCTGCTGGCATTTCATATATTCCGAGACCGTTTTCAACAATTTCCCTATCTACGTCATCCGCATTCATAAGCTTTTGTTCTTTCGTTCCGTCTCTATTTTTTACGCGTTTCATGACGAAAGTTGAATTGTCATTTAGCTCTGACATCAAATATCTCGGAGTAAATTCATCCATGTCATTTGGATGATATGCTATTAAATCATATCCCTTAGCGAGCTTGTATTTTCCAGGTTTGAGATTATATCCGTTTTGGTGCTGAGCCATAAAGCTAAATAGGTTCGGGTCAGTATTTCCATCCTTGAACTTTCCAATAGCTTCTTTATATCTGTCACTAAAGTCAACAGTATCTGGGAAACCACACTCTTCTTAAGCATTTTTAAGAATTCTTGGTTTCCTTGTTCTCTACTTCTTTTATGTCCTTGCTCTGTTTGTGGTTGTTGTTGTGCAGGGTTTTGAACTGTTGGTTGTTGTGTTGGTTGCTGTGCAGTGTTTTGAACTGTTGGTTGTTGTGTTGGTTGTGGAGGTGGTTGTTGTGTTGGTTTTGGTGCATGCCTGTGTCTGTGTCCATGTGACGATGTAAATGTTTTTAGGTAGTCCTGGTGCAGGTGCTTCTCTTGGAGGGTTTGGTGGTATATAAGTTCCACCAGCTGGCACATATGTTCCATCTGCAGCGTAATGTCCTACCTGACTTTTCGTTCTTAAGAAAGCATTTACTAGGTCTGTTTTGGTCTGTTGTAACTCTTTTTCTTGACTTTCCACAACAGTTGCTCTAACGGCGTCATAGGCACTTTGAACTGCCTGTCTCGTTGCTGCATCTGTTATTTTCGTCATATTTTGTGCTACTTCTCTTAACTCTTTGTCGAAACCTTCAGACTTCAGTTTCTTTCCAGATGAGAAGTCGTTCACTTGTTTCACCTTACTATGAAGAGCTTCGAAGGCGTTCTTAAAGTCAGCATTTGTTAAAGCTTCATTTGAACTATCTTCATCCGCTTGTATTTTTGTCCTTATTGACCCTATGAGTTGGGCTGCTTTAGCGTTGGCTTGGGCATCTAACCAGTCATTGTTGGCTTTTATATATTCTGCGCTTTTCATTGCCTTTTGCATAGCCGCGTCGTTATTTTTACTTTCTTGTGCTAAGTTTTCATACTGTACGGTTTGGTTTTGCAACTGTAAAAGTTTTTCTGCCTTTACATTTGCTTCAACTTCTTTTTTATACTCATCGCTATCCATATATGTCTTCAGGGCTTTTGTTTTATCTCTTCATCTTTCAGTACTTTATATTGAGTAGTATGGTTTTTCAAATTTATGACATCTTGTTCCATTTTTGCTACTTCTGCTGCTTTTTCTGACACTTTTTTCGCATATTCCTCTGTACTTAGTTCTTTCAGTTGTTCTTCTTTCTTCTTTTTCTCTACGTTTAACTCATTGAGTTTCTTTGTGTGTCTGTCATATTCTAGTTTCTTTTCGTTTTCACTTATTTGTTTCTGTATGTCTATGTTTGACTTTTTGACATCTGTTATTTGATTTTTGAGTGAACTCAAATTCATTTGACTTTGAGGTTATAGGCTGTTCCGTCTGCAGCTCCACCATAGCCTGCCATTTTCGCTAAAAGTCCCGCTCTTAAACCTCCACTCTGTGCACCAACAACTCGGTTTAAAAGCATAGGATTGCTTGACATTTGTTGCAACATAGTGGGGTCATTCAGCATTTGTTGTTGCAACTGTTGTTGTGGTGTCAGTTTTACTATTGGATGTTTCAATGCTCTCTTCCTCTTACGTATATTCTTACGTAGCTTACGTGGCATTTTAAGTGAAGTTAAAAAGCGGTTTTTGACAGATGTTTTATTGTGACTTCTTCGTAAAGACTTTGTTGAGATTTCTTCGTAAATGAGTGTAAATGACCCAAAAATATATTTTAGGGTAGAAGGTTAGATATAACCTCTTTTCTAACCTCTTTTCTACCCTCTTGAATTTTCATGAATTTCTTCGTAAAGACTTTGTTAAGACTTCTTCGTAAAGACTTTGTTGAGACTTCTTCGTAAAGACTTTGTCAAGACTTCATCGTAAAGACTTTGTTGAGATTTCTTCGTAAATGACCCTAGTAGTATATTTTTGGTGTAAATTTCATGAAAATTCAAGAGGGTAGAAAAGAGGTTAAAAAGAGGTTATATCTAACCTTCTACCCTAAAATATATTTTTGGTGTAAATTTCATGAAAATTCAAGAGGGTAGAAAAGAGGTTAGAAAAGAGGTTATATCTAACCTTCTACCCTAAAATATATTTTTGTCTGATTTACACTCATTTACGATGAAGAAGTCTCAACAAAACATTTACGAAGAAGAAGTCTTGACAAAACATTTACGAAGAAGAAGTCTTGACAAAACATTTACGAAGAAGAAGTCTTGACAAAACATTTACGAAGAAGTCTTGACAAAACATTTACGAAGAAGTCTTGACAAATTCAAGAGGGTAGAAAGGAGGTTAGAAAAGAGGTTATATCTAACCTTCTACCCTAAAATATATTTTTGTCTGATTTACACTCATTGACGATGAAGAAGTCTCAACAAAACATTTACGAAGAAGAAGTCTTGACAAAACATTTACGAAGAAGAAGTCTTGACAAAACATGAAAACATATATAATTTGTGAAAAGTGAAACATTATATAATGTTTTCGACCAAGAAGACTAACAATTTTCCGAATAAAAACTTCATTTATACTAAACATCTTCAGGGCTAGAAGGCACGAAGTGCCTGGAAGCCCCACTACCTTTTTTTTTTTTTTTTTTTTTTTTTTGAGTGAATTATGCATTATAGAGATTAAAAATCTGATTTGTGAAAACATCTCATCAGTTTCTAGCTAATTCAAAAATCTTTACTATCTTATTCGATTAAAATGAAAAGGGAATAGTTTCATTATGCTTTAAATGACAGCCTTATAATATAATCATAGTTTTCGCTCAATATGCAGCATTTTTTTTTCGAAATCTATGGTCAATATCCTAAATACTGATGAGTAGGGGTAATTTTAGCTAAAAGTGACACACCCGTGAAGGGTGTGATTACCGATCGGTAATTTCGACAGTTTAGAATTTAAAATTTTTTATGGAACTGTTGCGAGTTTCATAAAGAATTTAAGGAATATAAGCAAAGATTTGAATCAAAATCTTAGACCTAAGCCGCTCGATTCGCTCGCGGCTTTCTTTATTATTTTAAATTTGCATATTTCCATCAAAAGTTCATAAGGTAAAAAATTTCGTTTATTTTTACTAAGAAAAAAAAAGTTTTTGATAATAAATTTATTTTATTTCGAAAAAGTAGCAATAATCGTAAAAGGGTATTGATAGGCTTGCTAAAGTAACTAATTTTAGCTGTCAAATACTTTTGTATTTTGAAGTAAATTAGTATAAATTTGTTTTTACTTTTATTTCGAAAAAGTAACAATAATCGTAAAAGGGTATTGATAGGCTTGCTAAAGTAACTAATTTTAGCTGTCAAATACTTTTGTATTTTGAAGTAAATTAGTATAAATTTGTTTTTACTTTTATTTCGAAAAAGTAACAATAATCGTAAAAGGGTATTGATAGGCTTGCTAAAGTAACTAATTTTAGCTGTCAAATACTTTTGTATTTTGAAGTAAATTAGTATAAATTTGATATTATTTTAACTCCCTTTGAAAACCTCAATTTTCCATACAGAGGGAACGGGAATAGCATCCAATATTCCCTGAGAATGGTTGCGCATTCTCAGTTCCCTCTATATTTCGAACGAAGCTCTCATCGGTCTTTTTTTTAATACTAAACGTTTTTTCCCCTGTCACTTTTAGCTAAAATTTGGGTTTGCCAGTAGTAGATGAGTGCGGGTTGTGTGACTTTTTTTGTTACATCTATATATAGACGATGCATTAAAATATATTTATTTATAAATCATTAAAAAATTAACATTAATTTTAAAATAATTTATTTTTTTATCTTTTATAAAAGAAGCTATATATAGATGATGTCAGATATTCCGCGATTAATTAAACATTGTTTAAATCCTGAATGGGTTAAACTTCAATTTAAAAATGAAGATTGTGAATTATTAAATGAATATGAAAGCCAAATAAGCTAATGAGGTATAAATATAATGATAAAGAATATTTAATTTCATGGAATCAATGGAGTCATAATCAAAGACCTCATAAACGAGAAGAAGAAATTGAAAATAATGAAATGGAAATCATTGATGACATTAAAGAGGATGGAATTCCTAAATTTTGTAGAAAAACCTTTAGAACTAAGTTAGGAGCATATAAACGTAGAGTATTAAATCCTGAATATCTTAAACATTTATTTAAAAAGGAAGACTGTGAATTATTAAACGTTAATGATTATGAAAATGCAAAATCAAAACTGAGATATAAATATATTGGAAGTGATGAAAGATGCAAAGATAAAGATAAAGTTTATACAGTTTCATATAATAACTGGCACACGTTAGGATTAGAAAACATTTAGGAGATTATGGTAAAAGTTCTGAATTCTTTAAATCTAGTATATACGAGAGAGTAAAAGAAATTAGATATAATTATCATTCATGAATGAAAAATAAACTTTAAAAATTCATGTCTTACATTTATGAATAATTTATTTTTATTTTGTATGAAACCAATATTAAAAATTCATGTCTTACATTTATGAATAATTTATTTTTATTTTGTATGAAAATGAGTGTCAAAACTAACGATGTTAAAAAATTAGGATTCACAAACGAGGAAATAAAGGATATATTAGAGGAGGCAAGTTATGAAGTTAATAAATATTATTTAAGAAATTGTCAAAAATTCGCGGAGTTATTAAATGATTTAGATTATGATGGAAAAATGAATAAAGATGATGTTATAAATTTCTTATATCCTACATCTGAAGAAGAAAAACCTAAAGAACCTGATGTTTTCCCTGAATATTATGAAGAACGAATTAAAGATGATGAATATGATGAAATTGAAATTGAAAGACTGAAAAAAATAAGAGATGAAATAGATGAAAAAATTAAGGAATTAAGAGAAGTTGAAAAATATAATGAGAATGAAGTAGAGGGTTTAATGAATATCCCAGCTTCAGAATCAGAAGTTCAAAAATCACATGAGGAAAGATATAAAAATTACTTTTTGGAATCAACTAAAAATTTATTAGATGGTGATATTGACGAAACACTTTCAGAAGAAGGTACTAAATTTATTCATAAACATAAGCTTCAGTTTATTGACGATGAAGATTATCCATGTATATTACTTTCACCTCCTCTTGATTCTGAAAAATTCAAAAAAGCACTGAAAAATGTAACATATGCAACAAATACGATTAAGAAAGAAGACCATGATATTTACACAAATTATTATTTAAATAAATGTACAGGTGTTGATAAAGTTTTTGATTTGTTAGATAAAATATCAAAAGAAACAATTGGTACATATAAAATTTTATGTGATTGTGGTTTCATTGTTGAAGATACCGTTGATGTTTCATATGAAAGAACAGCTCCGAAGGAGGACGAAGTGGAAAAATCTATTCCATTCGTTATTAAGAACATAAAAGATATGAAAACCTATAAACATTATATTTATTCATTCATTTCAGAAAAAATGGAAGCAACACATAAATCATCTCGTCATCATTTCATAGCTATTCACACATTCCTTTTCAAAGTTGTGAAATTAAATAAGACAGGAATTAGATTTAATGTATCAGGGTACGCATTCTTGAGTAAATTAAAATGTATTCGTCACGTTGCAGATGATAAAAATTTATGTGTTCTTAATTCATTTTATGGACTTTAGCCCTGGACTTTAAAAAAAATAAACTTTATTTTTATATTCTAATTTTTTATTCTTACATAAATGAACAAAAACGGAACAGCTAAAATGAATGATAATCAAATTAGAGCAGAAGGTAGAAGGTTATTTAAACGCTTCTATAACATTCCTGATGGTGTTAATCCTAAAACTCGTAGAAGCTATTTAAATGAAGCCATAGATGCGTATGAAGGATTTAACATTTCATCAGAAAGTGAGAGGTTAGCAAGAATGTTAAACGTTAATATTGATTTCTATTATTGTGACCCTCAACCAGAAGACGTAGACATTAACAAGGTTGACTTCCCATTAGTGGAAACAATAATGATAGATCCAGAATTTGAAACAGTAAATATTTTATTAACACAGAGTCCATGTGGAAAACTTCACGCTGACAGAATAACAAACGTTGAAGCACTCACCGGCTATAAAGTTTGCCCATATTGTAAAGAAGAAGTATATTCTATCCGTGATGATCCAGAAAGGAAAAACCAAAGAAGATTTTTAAAACATTGTGAGAAATGTAAAGAAAATAATGGAAGATTAATTCAAGACGTTCAATTGCAAAAGACACAACAACCATATGCACCACATATCACGAAACAGAAGATATATCAATGGTTATTAGCACATAATTTGCAGGAATATTATAAACCAACAAGATATTATATTACTTTTGACTTCGAAACATTAGAGACTAAAGAAGAACTTCAACTTTCTGAGTGTGCAACTTTGAACGCTTACTTAAAACCATTTATGGTATCATCAACTGTTAAAATAAAGCCGCTTTGCGGCGAGGTCGTAGACCACGATAAAACATTTACGAGGAATTTTTGCTTAACATCAAGTGATTCGTTCATCTCTGATTGGATTGAATTTTTATTTTCAACCTGTTCATTAGTTGCTAAATCAAATATTGAACAATATGAAGAATTATTGAAGCAGCAAACGGACTCTTTAAGTCCTGAAGGTCTTTCAGACCAAACATTAAATGAAAAACAGAAGGAAGCATTTAAAGAGCTTTTAGATGAAGAATTTAATAAAGTGAATATCATTGGTTTTAATTCGGGAAAGTTTGATTTAAATTTAATTCTTCGTGATTTAAATACTGCAAAATGGAAGATAAAATCAATGCTGGGTTCTTCTTCTCAATTTAAGCAAGTCATAGTAAAGAAAACAAACTATCCATATGAATTGAGATTTATTGACATCAGAAATTATATAGCGGGTGGAACATTAGACCAATTCACTCAAGATTTCGGAAACAATAAATCACGTGTTAAATCCTTTTTCCCATATCAATTCATCACATGGGAGAATTACGAAGAAGAATTATATAAAAAGGAACCATTCACTCAAGATTCATTTTATTCAGCATTAACACAAGAAACAATATCCGATTCAGATTATCAAATATATCTCAATGATGCTAAAAACTTTAAGAATAGATTAGAATATTTTATTCATTATTGTAATAAAGACGTTGAAATTATGATTGACCCAATTGATAAAATTATTGAAGAAACATTTGTTTATAAAATTGACATGCTCCATAATCTTTCATTATCATCTAATGCATCAATGATTCGTTACGCTTTAGCATATAAAGACTTTAATCCTAACGAAACATATCCAGAAGAAGAAAATGTGGAATCAAGTTTTGAATTAACGAAAAAGTATTGGAAATATAAAATTGAATCATATAAGAAACAAGATGAAAAAGCAGAAAGAGATACCAAAAATAATGTTTCAATGGATGATTTTCAATACTATCACGATTTAATCCTTTCATCTAAATGCAAAATGTGTGGTAAAGCGTTTACATATGCAAATAAACCAACATTAGATAGAATCGATAATGAAAAACCACATACCAAAGATAATTGTCAGTTAATGTGTTGTTATTGTAATGTTATTAAATCAAATAAAGATGAAGACATTCAACGTTTAAGAATCAATTTAAGAAATTATGCATTAAAAAATAATTTACCAATGACTTTAGATTCAGTTGAAGCGTATCACATCCTCCGTAATGGAATTACTGGTGGTTTATCAAATGTTCAACATCGTGTTAATCTTAAAGGTATCACACATATTAATAAACTTTCATATAATCCAGAAACTAAAACAGTATCAAATGAGGACACTTCCAACATCATGACTCATTTCGTTGGTGTTGATTTCAATTCATTATATCCTTCATCATTTTCATCTAATCCTCATGATTTCATTCAATATACTGACCATAAAATGTATATGCCGGGAAGATTAAATGGAGTTATCATTTGTGATACAGCAACAAAGAAAGCAAAAGCACTGGGAATTATTAAGAAGAAAAATACTTTATTCGTGGCTGAAGTAAAGGGTCACATTGATGAAAAATACATTAATGATTACATTAACTTTTTACCGATAATAAGAAACTTAGATATTATCACAGATGAAAAAACAATTGGCAGTTTTATGTATAATTACATGAAATCAAACAATCTACCAGTTGACCAGAAACAGAGGAAATTAACTCAATTAGCATCAACACACAATCAATATCAACCATTTTCTTCTTATTATCTTTGGTATCTAATAGATAGATTTCATTTTATCATCGATGATATTCAATCAATTTTAACATTTACGAAAAACACTTGTTTTAATGAATTTGCGAACAAATTTATGAACGAAAGACAAAAGGCTGAATTAGAAGGAAATAAAGGAAAAAGTTTATTTTGCAAAATTTCACTTAATGGATCATATGGTTACGATGCAATGAATACACAAAATTACGCAAAGACTAAAATAATGAATGCACAGAAGGCACGCGTTGCATGTATGTCAAATAAGTTTAAAAACATAAGAGAAATAGGTGAAGATACATATCAAGTGATGCTTAAAGATAGATTTTATAGATGTGAAACATGTTTACAAGAGGCATTTTTTACTTTAGATAACGCAAAATACTGGTATTTGGTTTTCATTTATGATTTTATGTATAAATGCTTGGATGTTAATCGTTTTCATTTCATTGAAGGTGATACTGATTCATCTTATTGGGCAATCGCTGGCGACCCAAATCTTCCTAACACTCAAGCATTTCAAGCAATTGTTACCAATAAACAATTTTATGATAAAAACATTTTCAAATTCGCACCATTTGATTTCTTCTGTTTTGATGAGAAATTTAAACCTAAATTAAAGAATAAAGCTGAAGAAAAAGCACATGAGAAGAAGTTATTGGGTTTAGCAATTGAGAAACAAGGTGATAACATGGTTGCTTTATGTCCTAAATGTTATACATCATTCAACGGAATGATTGGTGAAGACTCCTTCAAAAAGATTGCACAAAAAATGAAAGGTATTAGTTTACGACAAAATAAACAATTAACACCTAAAAATTATTTGGATATAATAAATGATAAAGTGATATTTGATGGTCAAAATATTAATTTACAACTTAAAAATGGGTCAATGACTCGCTTAACAATCGGTAAGACTGCATTAACAGGAGCACACACTAAAGCTGTATGTTGTGAAAATGGATGTTGTATGCCATTTATTTAATGAATTGCCACAGAAGAGACAAAGAGGTGGGCACCCCTAAAACATTTATTTTATTTTTATATAAATGGATAACGTAGATTTAGAAATTTTAATTGATGATTTAGTATTAAATCAAAATTTTCTTAATTATTATGAATTAAAAGCATATCTCCAAAAATATAATAAAAATATAACGGGTGATGAAATGGGATATTATTATCAGTATTATAAAAATGAAATTTTGAAATATCATGATAAAATAATTTCTAAAATTAAAGACAAAATTAAAAATAATGAATATACAAAGGGAAAAAGTAAATCACAACTTAAACAGTTGAAAGATTTCAAAAATAAAGTATTAACTGAAGAAGATATTGATGAATTATATAAATTATATAATCCTGAACCGCAAAAGCCAAAAGAGAAAAGTTTGGAGGTTCAGCAGCTCATAAATGAAGCACAAGCTTTAATTTATGATTCATTAGTTAAACCATATTCAACCCGACTTTTAAATGAAGATCAACTTTTGGAATTCATCCTTCAACATAAACTTGAAGCGGGAAAGTATATCAAACCTTTATATACAGCATATTTAAAACAAATGAATAGAATACATCCAGAATTAATGAAAAAAGGAATGAAATCCAAAATCAAAGCAGATAAAATTAAACCACTTGCAACACCAAAACCTCCTTCAGTTAATCCTTCATCATTCACTTTATTATATCCATTTCAAACATTAAAGAAACAAAAAGATTTTAAAAAGGATTTCAAGATATTAAATAAACCAATTGACCCGAAAATTCAACCGTTAAAGGAAAAATTTAGTCGCCCTTCATTTGCACCTTCACCTTATTCATACGAAATCGATCATCTGGAATATTCAAAAGGAAAAGTTACTTATTTATTTGCCATTAACATTAACACTAGATATTTATATTGCATTCCGGTGAAAGGGAAAACAGAACAGGAAACAAGAAGAGCTATTCAATACTTACTAGATCATGAAAGAGTAGATAATATACGGGGTGATGGTGATAAAGGATTTCAGGCAGCTATGACTCATTATTTCCCACAAATTAATTTTTACTTTTCATCCTCTCCATATACGTTTCATAATAAAATAGTTGATGCGGTAATGAGAACTCTTAGAGATGCGTTAGGGGTTAACGGTCAGATATACTGGGATGGAAATCATGACTCCATCATACAGCAGTTAGTATATTATTACAATAATACATGGCATAGAACTATTAACATGAAACCGATGGAAATGAAAAATGATATTTCAAAAGAATGGGAATATATTAGAAAGCAAATGGAAAGGTTGAATGATGTTAAACGTGAACAAATTAATTCAGGGCTCATGAATTTTAAACAAGGGGATAAAGTTTTGATTCATCTCGATTATGGAAAAACTGATAAATCAATGACAAAAAGAAGACGAAGATTTGACACAATGGCTGAATTTGTTAGATATATTAACGGTAATGCATTAGTTGAGGTTAACAATAAATTAATAGAAATTCCGATTTATTTTATTACTCCATTATATTTAAATAATATTTAAATTTTTTTTATTTCGTAAGAAATGAGTGACAACGAAGCAGCCAAGAGTCCAGACGATGAATATAAAAAGAAACTAAACAGAATTAAATCAAAAATATGCTATTACAAAAAGAAGCTGCAATGTGGTGGTGTTGAAAATGATGAAATAATCGAAAAATTAGAAACTTACCGTTCAATCCTTAAACTGAGTGAAGCAAAAATAAAAGAATTTAATAGAATAAATAAATTGATTGGAAGAGATGAATTTAATAAAGATGAATTTTTAAACTCTATCCAAATTTAATTTTTATTCCTCTTCGACAACATCTCTCTTTCCATCATTACTGCATAACCACATTTTCTCAGTTTTAGTGGTTTGTTATTTTTAACATGTTCTTGCATCATTTTTATCATTTCCTCCCTTGTTATGATTCGTGGTAAATTTTGAGCTTGTGGGGTATTCATTTATATAAAAATAAAAATTTAAATTATGCCGTTCTAAAGTTTGTGACAACAGTCACTGTGTGACGAGACCTGAAGGTCTTGACATTTTGACAACAACACAGGTTATTCAATAATGAATTAATTATTGAAGAACTGAAGGTGCTACCATGTTACCAGGTCATTTAACTCATGACATTTTGACAACAACACAGGAGGAAGGCAGTTATGACTTATTTTTGAAGAACTGAAGGTGCTACCATGTTACCATGTGCTACCAGGTCATTTAACTTCTCTGAAAAAATGAGACAACATGACATTTTGACAACAACACAGGAGGAAGGCAGTTATGACTTATTTTTGAAGAACTGAAGGTGCTACCATGTTACCATGTGCTACCAGGTCATTTAACTCATGACATTTTGACAACAACACAGGAGGAAGGCAGTTATGACTTATTTTTGAAGAACTGAAGGTGCTACCATGTTACCATGTGCTACCAGGTCATTTAACTTCTCTGAAAAAATGAGACAACATGACATTTTGACAACAACACAGGAGGAAGGCAGTTATGACTTATTTTTGAAGAACTGAAGGTGCTACCATGTTACCAGGTCATTTAACTCATGACATTTTGACAACAACACAGGAGGAAGGCAGTTATGACTTATTTTTGAAGAACTGAAGGTGCTACCATGTTACCATGTGCTACCAGGTCATTTAACTTCTCTGAAAAAATGAGACAACATGACATTTTGACAACAACACAGGAGGAAGGCAGTTATGACTTATTTTTGAAGAACTGAAGGTGCTACCATGTTACCAGGTCATTTAACTCATGACATTTTGACAACAACACAGGAGGAAGGCAGTTATGACTTATTTTTGAAGAACTGAAGGTGCTACCATGTTACCATGTGCTACCAGGTCATTTAACTTCTCTGAAAAAATGAGACAACATGACATTTTGACAACAACACAGGAGGAAGGCAGTTATGACTTATTTTTGAAGAACTGAAGGTGCTACCATGTTACCAGTCATTTAACTCATGACATTTTGACAACAACACAGGAGGAAGGCAGTTATGACTTATTTTTGAAGAACTGAAGGTGCTACCATGTTACCATGTGCTACCAGGTCATTTAACTTCTCTGAAAAAATGAGACAACATGACATTTGACAACAACACAGAGGAAGGCAGTTATGACTTATTTTTGAAGAACTGAAGGTGCTACCATGTTACCTGTGCTACCAGGTCATTTAACTCATGACATTTTGACAACATTTACGAAAATATGATGCAGTCCAAAAATAAAGTTAGTTTTAAAATTATTTTTATTTTTTTATTCCTATATAAATGACAACAACAAACAACAACAGCAACTATATCGTTTCTGATGAAAAAGTTATTGATTCATTAGTTGAGGAATTAGTTGTGGCAGAACTAAAACCCTCAACGAAAGAATTGGTGAAAACAAGATTGATTTACATAACTACCTCAAACATGATGGAGGAGAGAGGAAAACTGGTACAGCTTTATTAGTAAATAAATTTCAAATTTAACGATTATAGATGTTGATATCAATAAATCGTACAATGATGAATTTAAAGAAACAGTTAGAAAAGACATTCTATCAAAACTTTCGATAAAGATGTTATCGTTAAAACCGCTTCAGGAGGTCTTCACATTTATTGCAACACTAATTTCTTCTATGCAGTTCGAACAGAATGATTAAATGTTATTCCTGCAATGATTATGATATTGATATCATGACTTCAATGGATGATTCAAAACGTTCATTAGTGGTTATGGCTGATTCAGAGTTCGAAAGAATGCAACAACCAATCAATACATACTCATTCATTCGTGGAAGTTATGATTCAACATTAACTAGAACGTGAATGATATATTAAATGATTTGAATATTAAGGTAAGGTTGAACAAAGAACGAAGAAATAAAGAGTATAATGAATGAAAACAAAGATGTAAACATTGACGATAAACTTGCCCAGAGCATAGTTGATGGCATCAGTGATTTTGAAGTACATAATGACGGTGGAAACATGAATTTGGAAAAAGAAATAACATTATTCACACTGTTTCAAGCTATTAATTCGTTACCTAATCATTTAATTAATGAAGCATACGATAACGTTTATAACTTCTGCAGTTTAACTGAAAATGCAAAAAGTAATTTTGAAAAAGCACGTGGTAGATATGCACATTTAATGACTTCTCCATTTGTTTTGGTGAAGATTCTAAAACTTTATCAAAAGGAATATTATGATGAATATGTTTTACCTTTATTACGTAAGCCAAAAATAACATTTGATATCAAACTTGATGACTCGTTTTTGATAACAGATATTAGACGCAAGGCTGAAAATCATCAGTATAAAAACAGTTCTGAAGTCATTGAGGATTTATCACGTGTAATCCGTTTTGTAGATTGTGGAAACAAATACTTCATTCAGAAAGATTACAACATCCACGACAAAATGAATCAAATATCATTCGTTCTTCAATCAAACATGAAAGAGTCACTCAAAATGATTAAATTATTTAAAGAAGAAGGTAAAACAATAACAGCATGGGATGTACTACTAAATCAATTGTCTTCATTAACCGTTAAGGGTGTTTGCTTTAAATCTGATTCCCCAGATGTTTTCTCAACGTTTCAGGGTTATAAATACAACGTTCTCGAAAAAGTAGATTACTCAAAAATTGAGATGTTTATGAATTTCATTAAAGAAGCCATTTGTGATAATAACGATGAAGTGTATAAATACCTTCTCGGCTGGATTGCATCAATGATTCAACATCCTGGAATCAAGAATGAAACAGCAATTATTTTGAAAGGACTTCAGGGAACAGGTAAAAACAGATTTACAGACATTATTTCTGAACTCCTCGCCGGTTATTCATGTAAAAACATTACTGAAATAAGTGAGCTAACGGGTAATTTCAATTCAGTAGTTGAGAATAAAATGTTTCTTGTACTTAATGAACTCAAGAATGTAGGTGAAGACAGACTTGCAAACTTCAACGCTTTGAAATCAATTATAACGGATAATGAGATTAGAATTAATGAAAAGAATCAACCCAGAAGAACTGCACAGAACGTTGCTAATTTCATTTTCGTAACTAATAACGTCTACCCTGTCAAAATTGAAGTTGGAGACAGAAGATACGTAGTTTTAAGAGTTAATGGTAAATTCAAGGGTCAATTTGATTACTTCAAGAATTTAATGGATTCATGCACAAAGGAATTTTATGATAACCTTTTAACATATTTTATAAATTACGACCTTTCATCATTTAATGTACGAATCATTCCGATGACTGAAGCCAAACAAGATTTAATCGAGTTATCAACAAATCCTTTAGATGCATGGATAAATACACATTATGATGAATTGTGTACAGGTATGACGTGTGAAAATGCTCTATTCTGCAAACCATCAGACATGAAAGACAAGAATTTCCAAATGAGTATTAAGGATAAATGTGATAGGAAACATAGAAGAATAGACGGTAAACAAACATGGTGTTATGTTTTGAAAGAAGAAATGAAAGGATTATATAAACAGGTTGAACCAAACGATAATGAGGATTCATTTACTGACGATGAAATACCTGTAAATGAGCCGCTAACGGACTCTTTGAGTCCTGAAGGTCTTTCAGACCGAAGCGGCGAGACCTGAAGGTCTAGCTTTATAAAGTATGATTTGAATTTATTTTTGCATTAATCCTCCTATGTTGTTGTCAAAATGTCAAGACCTTCAGGTCTCGTCACACAGTGACTGTTGTCTCATTTTTTCAGAGAAGTTAAATGACCTGGTAGCACATGGTAACATGGTAGCACCTTCAGTTCTTCAATAATGAATTAATTATTGAATAACCTGTGTTGTTGTCAAAATGTCATGTTGTCTCATTTTTTCAGAGAAGTTAAATGACCTGGTAGCACATGGTAACATGGTAGCACCTTCAGTTATTCAAAAATAATTAATTATTGAATAACCTGTGTTGTTGTCAAAATGTCATGAGTTAAATGACCTGGTAGCACATGGTAACATGGTAGCACCTTCAGTTCTTCAATAATTAATTCATTATTGAATAACCTGTGTTGTTGTCAAAATGTCATGTTGTCTCATTTTTTCAGAGAAGTTAAATGACCTGGTAGCACATGGTAACATGGTAGCACCTTCAGTTATTCAAAAATAATTAATTATTGAATAACCTGAAACCATGAGACTTTGTCTCCGGACTCTTTGAGTCACTTAACGTAAACATTAACGTAAACATTATTTTTGGTCATTTATGACAAAAATATATGGTTCATTTACTCACAATATTTTTGTACAAAACGACCCCAAACTTTTAACTTCTTTTCTGCAGCTTCAAATGCTATCTTAGCGAGTTCATATTCTCTAAATTCTCTCTTTAAATCTTCTTGTTCCCATTGGTCTAGTTCGTATGAAGAATCTCTATAACCATAACATATCTCACGTTCATGTTCTAATTGTTTTTCGCACATTTTTCCAACTTCTTCTTCAAACAAAGGTTTAGCATTCTCTACTGTATCTTCAAGTTCTTCTTCATCTAATTTCTCATGAATTTTCTTGTCTATGGAGTCCATAATATCTTTGACATAAAATGCATACTTTACAGAGCACCATTCAGCAACAAAATGAACGAGGTCAGGATGTATGTAAATACCTTTGAATTCATTCATGACACCCTTTGTAAGCTCATAAAATGCTTGTTTTGAGGTCGAGCCACTTTTGGCTCCACCGTATTCGTTCATCCAAAACTCAAGAATTTCCTGCATTTTAGTACTATTGAGAAATCTGTTTAAATGGTTTAACCTTCCCGCTTCTCTTGCCATCTTTGTTGCATTAATGTAACCATCCTTGTCTCTACGTAAGACTTCAATACCGTTATAAGTGCCTTTTGTGAATGTTTCACCATTAGATTTGTTCGTGAATGTTTTTGCTTCGACTGACATTTCTGTTCTTACATACAAAATAAAAAAAATAAATAAAAATAATTTTAAAACTAATGAAATTAATTATTTTTGGACTGAATTCATTGAACTCTATACCATGCATAAACTGTCATAAATGGTGGCATGTAATCTTTACTTTGTCCCGTTGTTTGCGTATATCCTGAAACGAAATGTGTATGGTTTCCTTCTCCCTGAGTGTCACTCCAGTAACAATTTATGGCAAACTTAACGTCGTCTTTAACATCATATCCTTTACCTTTTGTCATTCCTGACCAATCCCAATATCTATGTTTATGCCAACCTGCTTGAGATGTACTTAAATCTATGTAGTGACTGTGTGCAGGTAAATTTTCACCTGAAATCGTTTTACTTCCACCTGTTTCCTTTGATGAGTTAGCACAATACAAAAACCTGTCAACTATTTGTTGCCATGCACCAACACCAAACATTACTTGAGGACCTCTTGCATCCATAGATGTATAAATAGAACCTACTGGGTTCATTAAATCAAACATATGAGATATTATAGGATTGTCTCTTTTGAACTTAAAATATAGTGTAACTATTTCAGGTTTCTTCTGGTTTGTGTCAGAATATTTTTTATAATATAATCTTATGTTTTCAGGGTAGGTAAAGTCTTGACTATAATATTTATTTCTGTCATCTTCATAATAGTATACTATTCTCGTTTTTTCTATTGCATTATATCTTTTATATCTATAATAATCTAAATATAATGTTAGCTTTTGTTCATCTACATGTGGTGTTCTGACATCATCTCCATTGTCATAATAATATGGTGCTGGAGCTAGGTTAGACAATGTCATATCTGTCATTTCATAAACTCTTAAATATTTCTTTTGTTCGTCTCCATATAAGTTTAAGTAACAGTTGTTGTCTAATGGAACTTTAACTTGTGTACCATCATTCTTTATATAACCTACATACATTTCATTGTTATTTTTCGGAATGAGTTTATACCGTATACCATTTTTTAAGGAGTGTACAAACTCCCATCTAAAATATTTGTTTTCTTCATTGACAGTAAAGTCACCAACAATAGTTTCAATATTTTTTGTTGTTCCTATCAAACTTTGGTATATTTCGTTAACATAAGTTTTATCTGCTTTCTTCATTAATTCATCGTTAACATAAGTTTTGTCTGCTTTAAGGTCTAAACATCCTGAAACCCACCCTGTATCGGCTTTAGTTTTTAAAATTTTTGATGTCCGTTCATGATACCATTCAACCTTTTCTTTAATTTCATTATCTTTTTCGTTAACATATTCCTTATCTGCTTTCTTCATTAACACACTAGCCACACATTCCTCATCTGCTTTCTTCATTAATTCATCGTTAACATATGTTTTATCTGCTTTCTTCATTAATTCATCGTTAACATATGTTTTATCTGCTTTCTTCATTAATTCATCGTTAACATATGTTTTATCTGCTTTCTTCATTAATTCATCGTTAACATATGTTTTATCTGCTTTCTTCATTAATTCATCGTTAACATATTCCTTATCTGCTTTCTTCATTATGTCATTTAGGAAACCTTTTATGAATTCCTCATTTAAATTAAATCTTCCAATCTTCAAAACTTTAGGAAATGCATTTAATGCGTAATATCTCTGTTCTTCTGGTGGAATTGATGTTATATCATCCGTTATTCCTTTAATTTTTGAATTCATAAATAAAATTTCTTTTATATTTGATATCACCGCTCCACCTTTGCAAACGAATTCGAAATGGTCATTTTTCAATACTATCTCCAAATCTCCATATTTCAACCTTTGTGTTTGTTCTGCCGTCTTTGAATTATATGCATATGTGGCGTATGTAATGGTTTGTGCCTTAAGTTGTTGTGGTTGCTGTTGTTTAATCATTTATTACGATTTAAAAATAAATATTTAATCTGTTATCTCATCAGCTATTTTCTCTATTTGAAAAGTCCATAATATTTCATTCATGAATTCTAAATCACAATCAAATAGGTCAGTTATTCTAAATTTAATATTTGATAAATCTTTTGAATGAAGAATAAATGAATTCCCGGATAATTGAAACGGATATAAAAAGAAAATATGTTTAAGTTGATGGATAAAATGTTTGAATTGATGGGTAAGAGTTAGGTCTAATGTTTGATGTGAAAATCTCATTGGGGTATTAACTTTATCACATTTGATTAAAATGAAATTGGAACCAGTGTCAGAATACAAAACATCCCCAACATCTTTTTCAAAATTTAATATCCCCAACAATGAACGAAGACGAGGAGTACAAAATTTAATTTTCAGCGGAAATTTAATAAGATTATTTATTTCATCAAGTTCAAAAAGTTTATCAGGTTTTGATTTAAAATTTTCTTTATACCATACGATAAATGATTCATTTAAATAACTTAAAATCATGTTAATATCCCATTTCGTTATCACATTATTTATATACATATCATATGTTTTAGGTCTACACCCGCCGCTATGCGGCTCATGGTCATCTTTAATAAATGATATATAATCCGAAGGGTCTAAAAGAATGGGATTAAATTTACCACTCACAGAAACGAGAGTAACATTATAAATTCCACTAACTGTTAAATTTAATTCACAGTTATTATTCGAAATAATATTGATAATTGACATTTTTTATTACGATTAAAAATATGGTAAAGCGTTATTTTCCAGTGATAAATAAAACTAGAATAAGATTACCTCAAGAATTCATAAATTCAACGAATAAGAAATTCATTCATGTTATAAATTTTAGTGTTTCAGAAAATATGAGTCAATGTCATATTCATCAACAGGTTATATTTCACTTCATTCAAATTTGGTTCAATCAAACCCATATAATGACCATTTCATAAGATTTTCAGATGGTATTTAAAAATGTAATTGATAGATTAAAATATGAACAGATTGACAATATCGAATTTTTGGAATTTTGGTTTAAATATCCCGATGGAAAAAAGATTGAAGTTAAAGATAAAGCAGATACTATAACAAAAACAATTACAATGACCGATCCAGATAGTGGGGAACAAAAAGAATAAAACAAACGATAGAAACTGGTGAAAGGTCAATTATTATTGATTATGATTCAAAGGATTATTATTCGATAATGTTAATGCTTGAATATTAAATAGCCTTAACAAAGAATTTTTCAAGTGATATTTTATATTCATCAACTATTTTATTATAAATATCATTATATGTTAAATGTAGTTCAGTTGTTCCGTTCTTTGATATCTTAATTGTGCTAATATCCTTTATAGGATTTATTTTTGCAACTGTTCCGCAGCATGAAACCTATCATCTATGAAATATTGAATCTTCACGTCTGAATCTTGAACATCACAAAGAATGGCGATAATGTGAATTAATGATTCATAAGGTAAAATAATTAAACCGGATTGGTCAATTAAATTTATTATTGAATCATAATTATCAGTTATGATATCGCGATATATTTTCATTAATTCAGAATTAATGTCTATTTTATATGACGCATTGCGACTGGAATCGTAGATTCCTGGGTTATCAAGTGGTGGGGGGTATGTTGGATAAGTGGGAATTTCAACAGGTTCTTTACCGGGTTCAGATAAAATGATTGGGTCTCCATTCTCATGGTTTTCTTCATTCTCCTCATTCTTCGGTAAGTCACGAGTTAATAAATTTGGTTGAGTTGCTGACCTTGTTAATTCAGGACTAACATTAACTTTAACATTTTGAATAATTCGTGATTTATCATCATTTACGTTATAACCAACCGTAATCTCTGCTTTTGCGTTAGTGTTCTTTTGACTAGTGAAACGTCTTCTCATTTATAATCGAATAAAAAAAATATATTTAAACTTTTATTTTGCTGGAACTTTTGAATCTATTATTCCCTGTATTTGTTCATGAAGTTGATTTTTAGCATTTTCATCGAAATTAATAGACCTAATATATTCATTAATTGCATTCTTATAATCAACTGATTTCTCAAATTTTCTTTTATCTGATTCCTTAACTAAATCATAAGTTAAACCACGTTGCTGATATAATGGTTTCTTAATTAAATCTTTGAATGCTTGAGATAAAGCACCTGATGCAATTCTTGCTACTATAATTGGTTGGAATTGCTGTTTAAGTTCATCTTTAACATTTGCGAAAACTGGATCGAATAAAGCAACTTTAAAGAATTTCTTAGCTGAAATTTCAGGTCTAATATTTGCATATTGACCATCGAACTGATTAGAATATCGTGGTAATCCATCCGGTCCCTCTTCAATAGCATTTAATTCTTCATTGAAATAAGAATATGGATTATGACGGTATGAATTAATTGGACCATGTTCACCTTCTCCAATGTATTGTTTAACAGCTTTTCCATTTTCATCAAATTGCATAGGATAACGTTCATTATATGCTTTACGTTTAGGATAATTCGTCATTGTTAATTTATACCCATTTATGACTTTAATATTTCCTTGACCATCAGTAACAAAGACTTCATTTATACCATCAGGTTTTCCAGTTGGACCCGTAATGTCTGCTTCGTGTGCTTCCCAATTTGGACCTTTGCGTTTGGCATATGCTTGAGCTTCTGGTAATGTTAAAACGTTTCTCATTTGTTTAACATCCTTTTGAAGACCGGCAACAATGTGGACTAATTCTTTCATTCCGTCTGGAACTTTCATAGTTCTATTATATGCACCCTTTTTGTTTGTTCCTTGTTTTAATGGAACCTGTAGAAGATTTGCAATTTCTGTCATGTTTAATTATAAATAAAAAATAAAAATTAATATAAAAAGTTATTCGAATTTAATGGAACCTTTATTTAAATCAACTATTATTTTTCCATGTTCTCCTAATTGTTGATATTGTGTGTAAAGTTCATTAATGCTCATTGGTAAATTCACTTGATAAAGCATAACGTTCAACTGTTGACGACTAAACCCACTGAAAATGAAAAGGGTGGACAGATTTGATTTAATGTTTGTGCTTAATGCTTTGAAATATTGAACCGCCATAAAGAATGAACACTGAATGTGTCGACATTGAGTTAATAATTGATTAAAATATGATTTCTCATTAGTTATTAGTTTTGATTTCACGGCATCATCTAGAAAAATTAGTGAATGCAAAAATTCTTTATCAAAATTTGAAATAGAAAGTGTTTCAAATAATTCATCCCGTTGTTTATCAATAATTTTATCCTCTAATCCTTGCTTCTTGATTGTATTATATAACTCTTTATACATTAAAAAGTTTTTCAAATAATCTTCTGCTTCTTCTTGTGATAAATAAATAATTGGAATTTTGATTAAATGTTTTAAAGATTCAAATGTATCATCTGAAGGTAAACCTGAACGGTTGATATAAATTAACACATGTGAATAGGGTGAAGTGTTAGCAATAATGATAATTTGTTTTAATATCGTTAATGTTTTACCTTTATTTTGTTTACCAATTGCTGCAGTGATTGAATTTAAGTAACATTCAGAATATGGAATTTTCATTAATTTTTCCTTAGATAGAGCATTTTTATTATCACTCACATGCTTCATTAATCATATCATCTACGTATGTATTATATACTCCTGCTAATTCTTCAGAATTTAAATCCATTTAATCAAAAATAAATTTATAATTTTAAACATTTCTATTCATCAATATTTCATCATATGAACTTCTATACTGTGGTGGTGTACCTGTTGGATGATATTTCAAACCTTCATCCGGTGTCCATGTCCAATATGTAGTCCTAGTAAACCAAACCTGAGGAGGATTTGTCACCTTTGAACAGTAAGTGTCATTTACACCCTGAATGATTGGATAAGCTTTCACTTGTACTGTAACTTGTGAGTTGAAAGTTTCTAATCCATCAAAGAATATACCCGCTCCATCACGTTGAACTGGAATAGTGCATAAGAATGAAGTTTGGTCTTTCCATGTTCTAGCTAATGGCGTGCCATCATCATCATTCAGTGGTCTAGTTAATGAGTCCTCGTATTCTTCCGTGCATTCATTCACTCCATCTAAATCAGAAGCTTGAAGCATACGTGTAAAGAATATGTCACCCACTGTGGTCATCGCTTGATCGGGGAAGTTTCTGGAATCTATAGTGACCTGAAGACCTCGAAGCATTGGATTTTCTAAAACTGTTCTTTGCATTGCATTCTTCGGAAATGTTAACACAACATCCGTAACATTATGCAGAGCGTATGAGAAATCAGAGCTGATACCTTCAGGAGTGATGCAACCTCCATTTAGTGAACGAACGTCAATATGTTGAGCTGGAATCATGAATGGATCTTCCTTACTGAATAAACGTGGTATTGCTTTAACTGATTCTTCAATTAAACCATATCCTGGTGTAATACATTTATCCTCTAAAACTTCCATCTTTGTGCATGAAATAATAACGTCTTCAACTGTTGCGTCAGCAGATGTAGTGGCTAAGCTTGTAATTAATTTGGCAGGAAGTCCGATTTGTTGGAATTTGCGATCATATTTATAAACATGATTCATAATCTTTTCATAATTTTCATCAGTTATCTTTTCATAAACGTAATTTTGTAAATCAGCAACTCTTAACGGGTCAACCTGACAAAATACTAAAGTATCCCTGAAAACATAATATTTAAGAATGATTTCACCAAATGATTTAGGATAATCATCGAACGCTTGAAATGCTAACAAATCGTTTATCGGAATAATCATATCAAAAGTGATATCAACTTCTTCATTTGCTCTCTTGAAAACTTCTGAGGGGTCAATATATTTACCACATACTGAGTTATCATATTTTTGAACATTGTTATATAATGAATGAACAAACTTTTTAACTTTCCTTTCTGATTTTGGTTTATATGTTGCAAATGCAAAAGATTCACGGGCGCAATCCATCTGAAGATAACCGGCATCACCTCTTTCGGTTTCTACTTCTAATTGTTTAAAGCTTTGATTTGATGATTTGTAACCAACGAATAAACGCATGCATTTAAAAGCGGCATCACATGTGAAAGCTTTATTTGAAACTAGAGTTACTTTAACTTTGCGTTTAATATATGTGTCACCTAATTGGTTCACATCATGAGCTGGATTTGTAATTCTTAAATGAGTTTGTTTATCATCAAAATATGGAGCATCAGAGTCATAGCATGAACTTTCAAGTTCTCTATAATATCTTCTACCGTCATTCTTTGCGAATATTTCATTTATCTTTTCGAATGAATGAAATACATTTCCATTAATTGGTTTAGTGTTTGGCACCAAATAGTTAGTCGTCATTTATGATGAAATAAAAAATCAAAATTAAAAGATGAAAATGAATTTTTAATTTTAATGAAATAATCAACTATGGCTGCAGGATTCTTTAAAAAGTTATGGGATAAAGTAAAAAGAGGAGCGCATAAAGTTTGGGAAACAATGAAGAAGGGAGCAAATTGGATATTTAAGAATAAAGAAGCAATTAGTGACGTTGCAGAACAAATAGCACCTAATGTTCCGGTAAGGGAAGTATTAAATAAAGGAGATAAAGTTTATCAAAGACTTCAACCGATATTGAGATAAAAATAATATTTATTTTTCCACTACTTTCCTCCTATTTTATTAAGTATTCCTTCAGCAATTCCACCAATTGCGTTACCTGCTTGTGCTCCCATTGCCGGATTACCTGCTTTAGTACCTAATACCCCACCAATTATAGTTCCTGCCGTTTTCGCTACTGGTGCCAAAAAGTTTGCAACGGGTTTTATTATTTTCTGATGAACCCAACTTGCTGCTTTCTTTATTCCTTCCCATAACTTTTTAAAGAATCCTGCTGCCATTTCTGATTTAATATTAATTAAAAAATATATTTCATCACTTATATTTTAATTTTTATTTAATGATAAATGAAACCAATATTAAAAATAAATGAAACAGAGAAGGAAGAAATAAATGAAAGTGAGGATGTTCAAAATAAAATAAACATTGTTAAACCCATTACTGAAACAAAAATTTTTTCATCTGTTGAAGAATTTAATGACTATTATGCTAATAATAAAAAATTATTTGAAGAATTGACAACATGTAAATTGAATAAAATGTTTAAAATTGATGGATTCAAAATTTCAAAAATAAAAGGTGTTGTTAGTTTGAAATCTATTCCTCAATCAAGAATCACCTCATTAATGAAAATTGATGATTTAACAAAAAGAATAGAAATTATTGAAGAAAGAATGAATCAAATAATTGATTTCATAAATTCAAATAATCATTAGTTTCTTAAAGTTCTATGTTGATTCTGAGACATGAATTTTTAAAGTTTATTTTTCATTCATGAATGATAATTATATCTAATTTCTTTTACTCTCTCGTATATACTAGATTTAAAGAATTCAGAACTTTTACCATAATCTCCTAAATGTTTTCTAATCCCTAACGTGTGCCAGTTATTATATGAAACTGTATAAACTTTATCTTTATCTTTGCATCTTTCATCACTTCCAATATATTTATATCTCAGTTTTGATTTTGCATTTTCATAATCATTAACGTTTAATAATTCACAGTCTTCCTTTTTAAATAAATGTTTAAGATATTCAGGATTTAATACTCTACGTTTATATGCTCCTAACTTAGTTCTAAAGGTTTTTCTACAAAATTTAGGAATTCCATCCTCTTTAATGTCATCAATGATTTCCATTTCATTATTTTCAATTTCTTCTTCTCGTTTATGAGGTCTTTGATTATGACTCCATTGATTCCATGAAATTAAATATTCTTTATCATTATATTTATACCTCATTAGCTTATTTTGGCTTTCATATTCATTTAATAATTCACAATCTTCATTTTTAAATTGAAGTTTAACCCATTCAGGATTTAAACAATGTTTAATTAATCGCGGAATATCTGACATCATCTATATATAGCTTCTTTTATAAAAGATAAAAAAATAAATTATTTTAAAATTAATGTTAATTTTTTAATGATTTATAAATAAATATATTTTAATGCATCGTCTATATATAGATGTAACAAAAAAAGTCACACAACCCGCACTCATCTACTACTTTTGCCAATACTGATTGCTTTGCATTCATATCTCTTACATTTTCTATACCCACATCACTATTCATTGCTATTCCTATCTTTTTCATTTTTGTTTGTTTCTCATAATTTCTCAAAAAACACGATAACTTGATATTTGTAAATATCATACTTTATAACGTAAATAAGAACTTGACCTATTAAGAAAAGCAGTAATGAAAAGAAAATCTGAAATTCATAAAAATTACAAGTTTCTGATGACAATTAGCTTAATTAAACCAGGTACAAGATTATATAATTGTATTTTCTATCCAATTATCCATATAATATCTTATCCAGAAAAAAAAACTTGATCAATACCAAATGATTTTTTAACTAGTAAATAAAGTATTTTCTTTACACACACATTGTATATCATAGTTTTTTTTTTGGTTTCGCAAAACATCCAAAAACAAATATGCTATAAAAGTGACAATTTTAGCAAAACGAAACCCTTAGATAATTTGATTAATCGAAAATAGTAAAGGAACTTCGAAACGTGCTTTGTAATCAAGTGAACAGTGATTTAAATATACCATTAGGAAATAGTTAGAGATACTAACTTTAATTGAAAACCGTTGAAAGTGAATATTTTTTTTAGGAATTTGAGAGCACTTGCTGATATTTATTATCTAATTGGGAAGACAAATAAAGCATATATTGTTGATTGATAAGTCAATAGGGAAAGTTCAATAATCTCTTTTGTGAGAATTTTGATCAAAGAAAAAAAATTTTTGAATGATGATCGATCAGGATCAATCCAATTTTTGGATTTTGAAATCTGCGTCTTATCAAAAGCAGAAAGATCAACGTGCATCTCGCTCATCACTATGCAATAGATCAAATAATTGGGAAATCAATTGTTGATATAAGGTAGTCACAAAATCTAAGTAGTGAGTCTCTCAAAAATTGAACCGTACTCCATACAAAATTTGTGTACCCTCACTACTTAGATTTTGTGGCCTTCAATTGAGAGGTTAGTTTTGATAGAGCACGTTATAAAATTAAAAGGGAAAAATAAATAAAATTTAAACATTTAATTATATATAATGTAAGGAGTGTAATTCCAAATTTTCTAAAAACTATTCAAATTTGAGCATTTTTTTGGAAATAGTAAATCTAATATGTACATCTAATAACAACATGATTCATCACCTTTTCAAGCTCTGCAGTCAATTTTTTGAAATTTGATTGAAATAAATGTAGCAAAAATTACATTTCATTAGATAATATATGGGTTTCTCTGGAAACTGGCTGATAAATTTTAAATTTTGTCCAATCAACATGAATGCATTGAGAAATTTGGATTGATTTTGTGGTAGAATCTGTAACAATTCAACCATGTATAAATGGATTATGTAATCATTATGAAATGTTAGTGTTAGAGTTCAAAAGAAACAGAATGAGTGGAAATCAAACACAATCTGAATAATTTTAAAGGTATACAATCTTTAAGTTTGTATTTTGAATTCTACATATATGATTGTGTAATTCGTTCTTTCAAATTTTCGGATTCAGGCATGTTTTGATAAAATTCATTCCCAAAAACGTCAATTAACAATTAAATTTAGTGTATTTTAAATAGATATACGTATTATATTTTATAAATTATATTAAATTCGCAAAATTTTAAGTTTTAAACAAAAATAAAAAATGTTCAAAATATGAGATTATGCATAGGATATTAAAATTTACATGTTAGCAATTTTTTTGAATTGCTTTCAATTTTCATATTGAAATTTTTAAAACTCGGTAAACAACTTCTTTATGTCTAGAAAATTCTATCTTGCCTTTTATTTTTTTCTCGCTGTGAAACGTATTCGGTCATTTTTTTAAAAATTAATTTTTTGTTAGAGATAAGAGCTAAAACTCGGTAAACAACTTCTTTATGTCTAGAAAATTCTATCTTGCCTTTTATTTTTTTCTCGCTGTGAAACGTATTCGGTCATTTTTTTAAAAATTAATTTTTTGTTAGAGATAAGAGCTAAAACTCGGTAAACAACTTCTTTATGTCTAGAAAATTCTATCTTGCCTTTTATTTTTTTCTCGCTGTGAAACGTATTCGGTCATTTTTTTAAAATTAATTTTTTGTTAGAGATAAGAGCTAAAACTCGGTAAACAACTTCTTTATGTCTAGAAAATTCTATCTTGCCTTTTATTTTTTTCTCGCTGTGAAACGTATTCGGTCATTTTTTTTTAAAAATTAATTTTTTGTTAGAGATAAGAGCTAAAACTCGTAAACAACTTCTTTATGTCTAGAAATTCTATCTTGCCTTTTATTTTTTTCTCGCTGTGAAACGTATTCGGTCATTTTTTTAAAAATTAATTTTTTGTTAGAGATAAGAGCTAAAACTCGGTAAACAACTTCTTTATGTCTAGAAAATTCTATCTTGCCTTTTATTTTTTCTCGCTGTGAAACGTATTCGGTCATTTTTTTAAAAATTAATTTTTTGTTAGAGATAAGAGCTAAAACTCGCGTAAACAACTTCTTTATGTCTAGAAAATTCTATCTTGCCTTTTATTTTTTTCTCGCTGTTGAAACGTATTCGGTCATTTTTTTAAAAATTAATTTTTTGTTAGAGATAAGAGCTAAAAATCGGTAAACAACTTCTTTATGTCTAGAAAATTCTATCTTGCCTTTTATTTTTTTCTCGCTGTGAAACGTATTCGGTCATTTTTTTAAAAATTAATTTTTTGTTAGAGATAAGAGCAAAACTCGGTAAACAACTTCTTTATGTCTAGAAAATTCTATCTTGCCTTATTTTTTTCTCGCTGTGAAACGTATTCGGTCATTTTTTTTAAAAATTAATTTTTGTTAGAGATAAGAGCTAAAACTCGGTAAACAACTTCTTTATGTCTAGAAAATTCTATCTTGCCTTTTATTTTTTTCTCGCTGTGAAACGTATTCGGTCATTTTTTTAAAAATTAATTTTTTTTAGAGATAAGAGCTAAAACTCGGTAAACAACTTCTTTATGTCTAGAAAATTCTATCTTGCCTTTTATTTTTTTCTCGCTGTGAAACGTATTCGGTCATTTTTTTAAAAATTAATTTTTTGTTAGAGATAAGAGCTAAAACTCGGTAAACAACTTCTTTATGTCTAGAAAATTCTATCTTGCCTTTTATTTTTTTTCTCGCTGTGAAACGTATTCGGTCATTTTTTTAAAAATTAATTTTTTGTTAGAGATAAGAGCTAAAACTCGGTAAACAACTTCTTTATGTCTAGAAAATTCTATCTTGCCTTTTATTTTTTTCTCGCTGTGAAACGTATTCGGTCATTTTTTTAAAAATTAATTTTTTGTTAGAGATAAGAGCTAAAACTCGGTAAACAACTCCCCCATGTCTAGCAAATTTAACATTCGTCTCCCATTTTTATATATTTGGTTTAGAATGTTCGAAAATGCGTAATATGGTAATGAATATTAATTGAAAAGAACCTTGAATTAATTCAATCTGATCTCACAAAATATTTTAAATTACAAACTTTGTCGTTTGAATAGATAATTAGTATTAAACTCAAATAACTAGTTTATTTTTGAATAAAAATTATTTGAATCTATTCAATTTTGTGAATTATCCTTCAAAAATCAAGTTTAAATATCTTATTTGCCATATAATTATAAATACAATGAAACATATTCGAAATTGAAAAGAATGACTTTTTCTGTTCTTTCAATCATTCAATTTGAATTTTGCAATATTGGATTTCTCATTAAAAAGCTATTAAAAACAACAAGCAATTTAACTTACATTCAAATTTATTTGTGTTATATTCAATCTTCTCAAAACTTATAATTTTCGGCTATAGCATGATTATATGCTATATAATATAATAAACCTATAATAGTATCATTCTTTCAATTATTTGAAGAGAAAACCGAAACAATCTATTTTCGGTCTATAACAATATTGCCAAAACCCCTATTATAAACAATATTGTACAAATCATATAATATGTTAATATTTAAAAACAAAATTAGAAAATAATTATTATTTATTTTGAATACTTCGTAAATGAATAGAATCAATTAAAAAATATAATGGTCATAATTTTTTTTCTATATACGAGAACGAAAATTAAACTTATTGATTTGCTTCTTTTCTTATTACTAGATCTTTTTAAATAATATTTAATTTTCCGATTCAGGCATTCATCGATAATCTGATATTATAGGAAATGTATCGCTAATTGATTCTATTTATATAACAACATGCGATTTCCCTCTATGATCAACCATGGACAATATTTGCTTGACAACTCCTCCCAAATTTCATTATTACTAGTGTTACATAACCGCTATCAACTATATATTTATTATATTGTATCGTTTAACCTTTTCTGCTAATATTATTCATAATTTCAAAAGAAATATCAATTGATTGAGTTGACTCGTTTTTTATTATATAACCTCATCTACATGAGAATTACAAATAATTTCAATTGATTTCACACCCTAAATATATGATTATCAGTATTGTTTTCGGTGTATTTTTGTTATCAGAAGCTAATTCTTTGTGATATTGCAATACATTTGATGCAATGTATTTTTATATAGAAAACAATATATATTTGCATATCATTTGGTCTAAAAATAAGAAATTTAAGACGAAAACATAAAATTTATTAAAAATTTTAGAAAGAAGTTATTACATATCTATTTACTAAACACAAAATAAAAAAAAATTAACAGCAGCATCTAGAATCTTTTTCATCTAACTCAGATAGTTGCATTGCCGAGTGCTGTCTGTTTCTATTAAGGAGTGGAGTATGCATTCCTCCTCTTTGTGTCATTCTTGTTTCAATATGTTGCATGATCTGCGGCGGAACGCCGAGTTCTGTATAATAAGGTGTTGTATCAGCGCCTCCATCGATTCTAAGTGCCACACCGAAATCATTTGTTAACTTATCTCTGTAGGCTGCGACAAAAGATTCCCAATCCCAGCGATCTTCTTCGCGTATGTTATTTTTGGTCATAATATCATTAAGTATGTCAGTAATGCGTTGGTAAGGTGGTTCGTCTTCGAATTTAAGAGGTTGTAAAATTTCCCAAATATCAGCAAGTTCTGGAGCAATTGGCTGAACGAATTCACGTACATTAAACTGGGCTTTCATCTGTGCAACATCAACGGCATTTGAGACGTTTTTCCATGGTAATCCTGGTGTCAATATATCAAGTACGAAATAGAACCAAGAAATCATATCATCTCTTCGCGATAAGTCATTTTGTAGGTGAGCATTTACTGATGCATATGTTTTAGTTCCACGAAAACCTGTTTTCATTCGTTGTGGAACATGTTGACCTGTTTTTTGATCTTTGAAGATTCTAACAAGTCCAAAATCTAGTAGGCATATTGGAGGACTGTGTGCAATACGAACAAGAACATTTGCTGGTTTAATATCTCGGTGAATGAAGCCAAGATTATGAAGAGATTGAACGGCAAATAAAACATGTCTTGCAGTGCGAATTCCTGTTGAAAGAGAAAATTTCTTTTCTGGTAAACTCTTTAAAATTGATGAAATAGAAGGACCTATCAGTTCCATGACGACATACGACAGATTTTTCGTTTCTCCATAGTCAAACAGCTTTGGGAAGTAGTCAACGCCTTGAATTCTACGTAAAATTTTGTATTCGAAACTTAATGATTTCCTTTCGGACGCGTAGCTTTCGTTTTTAAGCGCATAAATTAATCCTGTTTCAGTATCTCTTGCAGTAAATATATTACCAAATCCACCTTGACCTATTTGAGGGCCAAGCGTGTAGCGACCGATGACATCCCCGGTCTGCATAATTTTCTGGCAAATTCTGGATTAGAAAAAATCTGAACTAACAGAAACCTGCCAAGACTTAGTAAAGGTACATTCGCGAGACTTCCCAATGATGGATTTTCAAATAAATAGGATATTTGGAATCAGTAGGCTCCAAATATGAATAATATGATCTTAAGAAGAGGGATGTTACTTTTCGTGCATGTACGTTTGACAAGATTTCGAAAAACATTTTTCCAGTTCTTTCTATAGGCCCGAACATTTTAAATTTTTTGGTTGATGTCCAAGGCAGAAATTAACCAAACTCATTATGACAAATTGATGGAGATTTTTGCAGGATATGATGATGTCTACAATGCTTTGTACAGGCTGAAAACAAATGACAAAGAAAAATTAAACGCATTATACAAAAAAATCAAACAAAACCTGATTGACTCTTATCATATTTCGCCTGGTGACATTATCAATGAAATATCCCAACTTTCAATTTATAACAACCGCTACATGAAGTCATATTTAGCAATTGCCAAACAAATTGTTGACGAATACCATCTAAATCATGTCAATGAAATCGACGCAGCTTTTGATTATCTTTTCTATAAAGAATACAACATAATATTATATGAAAAGTGGGAAAAAAGTTTTAACGATTTTGAAGATTCTCATTATTCATCTGATATTCACGACAAAAATACAATTTACAGATCTATTATGGATGATGACATAAAGTCATTTATATTTTTTGCAGAAGGAGAAGGATTTAATGAAGATCAAAAAATAGTAAGTCTATTATATCCATTTCCATTTGATGGTATTTCGTTACTTGAATTATGTTGTTATCATGGATCTGTTGATTGTTTTAAAATCTTAGTAACAAAATTTGAATCAAAAATCACTCCAAATTGTCTTAGATATTCGTTTTTGAGTGGAAATAATGACATTGTGTATGAATGCTTGAAAGTGCAAAAACCAGATTTCGAATGCATGAAATGTGCAATTATATCACACAATATTGATTTTGTCTCATTTTTGATGACTGAGTACAACATAAACATTAGTTTAACATTGTGCTATATGTACAATAATCTTCAATCATTTTTAGTTTACTTGGATCAAACAAATGATTTCAACACATGTTTTCTTTATTCCCCCTATTTCCATCTTTCATCACTTTTAGAATATTTTATTTCAAATGGTGCAGATATCAATGCTAAAGACGAAGATGGATCTACCCCTCTTCATTCTGCAGCCGGTTGTAATAGCAAAGAAGCTGCAGAAATTCTTATTTCAAATGGTGCAGATATCAATGCTAAAACTGAAGCCGGATCTCCCCCTCTTCATTTTGCAGCCAGTCGTAATAGCAAAGAAATTGTAGAAATTCTTATTTCAAATGGTACAGATGTCAATGCTAAAAGATCAGATGGATTTACCCCTCTTCATCTAGCATCAACTAATAATTACAAAGAAACTGCAGAAATTCTTATTTCAAATGGTGCAGATATCAATGCTAAAACTGAAGGTGGAATTACCCCTCTTTATCTAGCATCCATTAATGGTAACAAAGAAATTGCAGAAATTCTTATTTCAAATGGTGTAGATGTCAATGCTAAAACGAAATTTAGATCTACCCCTCTTCATCTAGCATCCGGTAAGAATAGCAAAGAACTTGCAGAAATTCTTATTTCAAATGGTGCAGATATCAATGCTAAAACTGAAGCCGGATCTCCCCCTCTTCATTTTGCAGCCAGTCGTAATAGCAAAGAAATTGTAGAAATTCTTATTTCAAATGGTACAGATGTCAATGCTAAAAGATCAGATGGATTTACCCCTCTTCATCTAGCATCAACTAATAATTACAAAGAAATTGCAGAAATTCTTATTTCAAATGGTGTAGATGTCAATGCTAAAACGAAATTTAGATCTACCCCTCTTCATCTAGCATCCGGTAAGAATAGCAAAGAACTTGCAGAAATTCTTATTTCAAATGATGCAGATGTCAATGCTAAAGATGAAGATGGATCTACCCCTCTTCATTATGCATCCATTAATAATTGCAAAGAAACTGCAGAAATTCTTAATTCAAACAAGACAAAATAATTGTTGAAAAATTTTTTTGGAACGTGCGGTTTTTCAGAAAAAAAATTGAATTACCCCCATTCAAATAAAAATATCGTATTTTATCTAATATAAATAGAGATTTATCATTCTTATACAATAAAGTATGTTTTTTTAAAATAAATTATCTATATATGTGAACTTGAATTTCTCATCACATTATTGACAATCCAAAAGATATTCGAATCTAAAGAATAAAAATTCAATTTCCTAAATAGAGTAGATTATCTTTCTATTTCGTTTTTTTTTGGCCAAATGTAATATTGATACAAATATTCAAGAGATTTAATTAGAAATTAATATGAAATCATTAGATAGTTGTTATAACTATAATAATTCTATTATCTGTATATGAAATCTTTATAATTTAGTTTATATCAAATTGTAATTGATATCATTTTAAAGGACAAATGCTTAGATATGGTTTCATACTAGTTTTATACAATTTCATATTGTTCTTGATGACAAATTCGGCATCAGTGTGGTTTCATCCCGAATTTTTTAAAAAGGATTGAAAAATAACAGCCTTGATTATCACATATCCCTATGTTATTATAAATTAGGCGCGAGTGCACAGTTTTTAATTGCACTATTCCAATTTGATTAAAGAATTTCAATGATTGTTATAAGCACGAAACAAATAAGTTTTATTCAATAATATTACAAAACAAACAAATTTTATTAAAATAATATGAAATAGTTAAATAGGTAATCTGTATAAAAATAATGGTCCATATACTCCTATCCAAGCATTCATAAAATCAATTCCGTGATGTTCAATTGGGGTGATATATTCAATTGTTTTACATGGATGTATAAAGAATAATGGAATACCAGTGATAGGATGTATTCTTTCAGAGACTGAATTCATGTCCAATTTCTCAGGCATTATTTTCAAAAGTTCATCATATGTTAATCTATGCCCTGATTCTGTATAAAAATAAGCTGATAAAACTGGAGCTTGAAAGACTTCGTCAACGTCGATGTAATAAGTGACAAATACAGTTTCATCATTTATTTCAACAGGTAAAACTCTCCTTTCATTTGTAGCATAAGTCTTTCCATTGCTCTCTTTCAAAATCCAACCATCTTTAGAAAATGTCTTGACGAAATTCTTGATTTTAGTTTGGAAATCCATTTTTGATTGTCACTTTTTTGAAAGAACTTTGGATATTTTGATAAAACTAAGGTTGCAGACTTGCCAATTCCAAATACATTGTTGATTTTAGTCTGTTATGGCTCTTCATTGTTATCAATATCTAGTAAATTTATGATGGAATTTTTTTTATGGAAAAAAAGTCGTTTTCATGGATGATTTTTCTCATTAGAATCTCATGGAAAATTCGTTTTGTTGATGTTTTAACTTATGAATTAGAATATACTATAGTGATTTTATCTGTGAGCTATATTACAATTAGTTTATATTAAATGGTTTGGACTTTTACTGCATTAAAATTTGTTCATACTCCAATTCTTAGTGAAAAAAAAAATTTGACGAAATGTTTATTTAAAGTGGATTTGGATCATCTATCGGATATGTATTTTAAAACTGCTTACATTTGGATATGAAAAATTCCACATTGTCATAATTATTGTCATAATTTTTTTTCTTTGATGAGAAAAATTTTTTTTTCATTTATGAATAAAAAAGATAACTACAAGTACGATCGCCAAATTCGTCTTTGGGGTGTCGAAGGACAAAAATTGATTGATTCTACAAGTCTTGTTGTATTTGGTTCTTCGATTTTAGCCACTGAATTTCTGAAATCAATGACTCTTCATGCTGTTCACAAAATCTACATCATCGATGATGCCAAGGTTGATCAAACAGATACATTGCAAAACTTCTTCGTTGAGTCAGACACAATTGGCCAAGATCGCGCAGTTGTTACAGCAAATCTTCTTAAAGAGCTTAACAGTGATCCAGAATTCGAGCCAATCATTGATTCCCCAACAAACTACGCCATCCTCAATGATCCAAAGTTCGATTCTTCCTGCTTTATCATCACATATGGTACAATTAAGCCATCAAAGATGAATGAGCTCTCAGAAATTGTCCGCGGGAAGCATATGAGACAAGCCCACTTCGCATGCACCGGATTTTACGGCGGAATCTACTTAGATGGCGGAAGTCATTACGCATTTCAAGGCGGCTCCATGTTCAACCAACAGGACTGGCATCTTGTCCATCCAATCCCAGCCCTCTTGAAATACATCGAAGACAGCAATTACAGTTCCCTTTCTGGCCATGACAAAATACAATATCCATGGATTATTAAGGGCCTTGTCGAGAAACAACGTCTTATTAAGAGAATGGAAGAGCTCGAAAAGACTACAGGAGAAGCTCCAGTCATCACCGCTGACACATTAAAGAAACAATGCGAAATCGATTGCGAATTCGTTGATACTCAAATTCTTTTGAAAGATGTTATTGACAACAGATTGCAGTTCTTCAGAGAACCTAATTACCCTAATTTAACCAAAGCAATTAAACAAAGTGAAAAAATGCCCGATACAGACTTCTGGAAATGTGTCAGAGCCATCAAGAAGTTCAAGGAAGACACAGGAGATTACCCAGTTATCGATACAATTCCTGATTTGGAGTGCAAAAACAAAATTTTCCTTGATATCAAGAAGATTTACAAAGAAAAGTACTTAGAAGACGTCAAGAAGATGAAAGAGTACTTACCAGATGTCGAAGAGTCATTTGTTGCAGATTTTGTCCGCTATTTCTCCAAGATCGCCGGTCATGAGTACAAACCTCTTTCAGAAGTGATCCAAACTGTTTCTCCAAAGCCAGCAATCAATTACCAGGCAGAGTACGTCGAAGTCTGCTTCATTGCTGCACGCGAATTCGCTGAGAAAGAGAACAGAGCTCCACAAGTTGGAGATGAATCAGCTGTTTACGAAATCGCGAAGAAACACCTTCCAAAAGATCACAACTTAGATCCAGAGACAGAGCTGAAGAAGACAGTCGATGAATACGTCAGATTCAACGACAAAGCAGTTCCAAGCGTTGCATCGACAGTTGCAGCATTCACTGCACAGGAAGTGACGAAGATGATCATCAGACAGCAGACTCCTGTCAGATACCCTGCAATCTTCGATTTCATCAGAAACAAGACTAGTGCTAGTGGTGAATATATCGAATAAATTATAATTTTTTTTATATTAATTCTCTCATCATTTTCAATATCAACATGATAAATAAAACAAATCTAGAGATAGTGGAATAATTTTGTATTTCATTCTTTTATCATGTCAATATTAATCTCATTTTGAGATTTATATGTGAGAAAACTAGTGCTAGTGGAGAATGTATCGAATAATTATTTGTATTTCATTCTCTCATCATGTCAATATCAATATGATATATGAAACAAATCTAGTGCTAGTGGAGAATGTATCGAATGATTTTGTATTTCATTCTCTCATCATGTCAATATCAATATGACATATGAAACAAATCTAGTGCTAGTGGAGAATGTATCGAATGATTTTGTATTTCATTCTCTCATCATGTCAATATCAATATGACATATGAAACAAATCTAGTGCTAGTGGAGAATGTATCGAATGATTTTGTATTTCATTCTCTCATCATGTCAATATCAATATGACATATGAAACAAATCTAGTGCTAGTGGAGAATGTATCGAATGATTTTGTATTTCATTCTCTCATCATGTCAATATCAATATGACATATGAAACAAATCTAGTGCTAGTGGAGAATGTATCGAATGATTTTGTATTTCATTCTCTCATCATGTCAATATCAATCTTACTTTGAAGATTTATATGTGAGAAAACTAGTGCTAGTGGAGAATTCATTAATAAATTTTTATCATGCTATGATCCAATACGTATTTAATTCTTATCAGGTGTATTATGTATATACTATTGTTATATCAACCATATACGGTTCTATTTTTATGATTCATCAATAAAAAAAAAATCAATTGCTAAAAGAGAGTAAATTTAAAAAGCATGCTCATCGCATTACAATATCAACCTAGCATGTTGTATCTTAGATTTCATCTGAAATAAAACTTGTGCTAGTGGAAAATATTTCGAATAAATTAGAATTTTTTTTTATTGTAGTGCTATATCAATTTGATATCATGCAATATGCAGATAGGCCTGAAATAAAACTGGTGCTATTGGGAGAATATCAAATAAATGAAAAAAAAAATTAAAATATTAGGTAATTCTAATATTTAATAAAATATTTGTAAACTATGTGTAAAATAATTTATTTTTCCAGATTTAAAAAAATCCAAACTTTTTGCAAAATCCAAAATATTCAAGGTAATTCACAAAAATTTTAAATTGAATTTTTGTTTTTGATATCTTTCTTGGAAAAAAATTATTAAAATCAGAGGTCGAGATTATTATAATCATCTTCAGGGGCCCTCATACAATAAAATTTTTAGTATATATTCTGATTTTTTTATAAATATACATAAGAGATTTTAAATATAATAACAAAATAAACAAAATAAATGCATAGTTCTATTCAATTATTATAGGATAATGGTATTCTAGGATTTCTTCGTTGTATTTCTGATCTATGGGTATTTTTGATAACGATTGATATAATCTTCGTTCAGATTCAATTTGTATATCGTACTGTTCAACAATCGGGCGAGAATATTTGATTATTTGTTCATCAGTCATGATTTTATCATCTGAATACCATTCTTTTTCAAAAATTTTGTCAGCATGTTCAATCAGCGGCCGTAGAAACTTCTGTAACTTCATTACGAATGTAGCATCAGCTTTTGGATAGATACAGACACCAATACATATGGATAGATTTTCTGCATCCATCCTTGTATTTGAATGCTGCGACAATTCTCCCAAAAAGCTTATTATATAAGCTGCACTGCATCTATGTGATTTATCCATACCTATTACAATGCGACGAAGCTCGTTGATAAGATCTTCTTCATTTGCACTCTTTGTTTCGACAATTTGTAGAATTGATTGTATTTGTTGGATAGTAAATAAAGGATCGATCATGCATAAAGTTTGCAACACTTTCTTAAGAACACATGATAGTAATATTGCCGTATCTGATTCGGGGAATTTTCGCATTTTACCACTATCTAGGGATTCATATCTTTCGTCAATTTTGACGTTTTCTACTTTGACTCGAAAAATACCATCTGTTTCGAATCCATTTCTTTCTTTGATAGCAGTGATTAAATCTGAGATAATAAATGGTATGCACCCATCATATTCACTCCATGACTTCGTCAGAAAATGTGGTGATTTAACAGGAAATATGAGGGCTTCACCCATAAATTATTTCAATTGAAACAATTTTTATCTGGAGTATTCAATTTTTACTATCACCGATTTTCAATCTTTCTTCAATGCCATTATTATCCTTTTCAGAATGCTTTTTGATCCTCAAACGCTGGCTTTCAAAACACGATTATCATAAAATCTTCCAAAGAATCTTTGAGAGTTCGGCCACATCATACATAAATCACATAAAGAATTATTGAACATGCCATGTTGCATCTGGAAATCAGGTCAAATGTCCCTTATTCAGATACAAATAAAACAAACACTCCAAAGAAAAGGTATTTTGAGACTTATGTCAATCGTCAAAAAGGAAAACATCTTATGGATACAAAAGGTTTTTGTGATACGCGAACGAGTTAAATTAAATAACTTCACATCATTGATTATAAATGATTTGGAAAATCATGAGATTTCTGAACGTTGCTCATAACTATATGCACATAAAACAATAAATAAATATCATGCTAGATTCCTTCTTTTGTAAAACATAAGTCTTTGAGATCAAACATTTTTCCGAACCGAATTACGAATTTAAATATAAGTAAAATTAGATTACCTATTAGTAACTTATCTCAATGTATAGGAATATTATGATGCCTAATCGATACATTAATTTCGACCTGAATCCAAAAAATATTCCGTATTTTTATTAAATTTTATGAAACATTCTGACTTAACACGGAAATAATAAAAAATATCTTGCTCATCATAGTTTTTTTATGAAAAAATCCTTTCAATAAAGCCAACTATATTTACTTTTCAATAGGCGATCATTCATTGAATTTTTTTGAATAATTGCCAATTTTCACAAATTTCTCCAATGAATCTGAATTGTATTTTTGGTAACCTCTGGGGAGTAATGGCAGGATGGCAGGTACTAGCAGTTATCCTGTGCGGTGGTGGAACAGTTGTTTCCTATACATCTTCAATTTACGGTGAATTTATTCCAATTCTTTCGCTCAGCATTTGCTATTTCATCATTTTCATTACGAACGTGTGGTGGTGGCCCCACTCTGATAGTCCGTGGTGGACTTATTTCCTTGTAGCTCTCTGCTGCCTTGGTGGAGATGTTTCAGGTATTTTCGCATATAACTATACATCACTTGCATCTGCAATGCTTTTAGTCACAACAGTTATCTTTTGGGTTGCCCCTATTGCTTACTTTGTTTTTGGCAGAAAAATTAATTGGAAACAGTTTATGGCGATGATCCTTGGCATTACAGGCGTATCAATGGTTATGGTTGCTCAAGGATTAGCCGGTAGTAAACTCAAAGGAAATCTTTTGGCCTTAACAAGCGCAATTTGTTACGCATTCGCAACAATTTTACAAGAAAAGCTTGTCAAAGATGACAGCATCAGACTCTATCTCATCAGACTTTCTCTTTCTGCGTTACCAATTTCATTAATTTTATGCGGCTCATTAGAATGGAAAACCATTCGTGATTACAAATGGGAAGCTAAATCTATCTCTCTTACACTCGGTTACTCAGTTCTTTTGTCATTATACTACATGTTATCACCAATAATTATGCAATACTCGAATGCAACAGTTATGAACATCTCAATGTTGACATCCAACTTCTATTCGTTAGCAATTGATATATTTTTCTTCGGAACTCATGCAAGCTGGCTTTATTTAGTCGGATTTATGTGCATTCCTGCAGCTGTTTCTATTTTCGTGTTATCAGAGCCAAAGATAATACAACAATATGATCCAAACCCTCTTCTTGTTGAAGAAAATCTTTCAATGAAGAATATTGAGGAACCAGCTCTGACTTGATTGAATTAATATCTAGAAAGAATATTGCAAGCTGGTAATTCAATCTCTCTTTATATTAGGTCGTCAAAAAATTGTACAAATTGAGTACTTTATGACATAAAACCCCCGAAAGTCAATAAGCTTGAAAGACCAAAAAATTTTTAGTGTCAAATTTTTTTTATTTTCCCACTTTTTTTCCAACCTTATATCTTGCCAATCGAATCTCTCGCAACCCCATTCTAATTGCAAGAGATTCGACCAATCCGGCTACATTGCACTTGCAACGTACCAGGAATGACTATATCCTGATCACAGGATCAAGTAACACTGCCTTGTCTAATTCTGACATAGACGCAATTCTCTCAATTCATACTCCAATACTCTTATATTCTTTATTGAATCCTTTGACAAGTCACATCACTTTATATCTTTTTATTATTATTACAGTCCCCGAAAAAAGTGTCGAATGAACAATAGAAACACATAACGTCACCCGGAGTTTACGTGGTATTAGAAATAGAGTAGAATCTATGATATATACCGCATAGAGATGCTACAAAGGAAAATAATATAAGAGTAAAAGTAAAAATCAAATGTTTATCCTAAAGATCTAAATTTACATTTGCCTAAGTTAGTCAGTATAATGAGATGTTTTGAATTGTAGTTACGCTTGTAACAATTCATATTGTTCGATCTCGGGCAATTTTAGGATATGTTTGTAAGCGTATGCTATTGAGATCTGCATATGTCGCTAAGCTTAAATAAGCTTATAAAGTGCGAATTGTAAAAAAAATTGAAAATCTAAAAAAACGATGCGTACATTTAGAATATTTTATTGTATTAACAAAGGTAAAATACTTATACGCGTATATTATGAATATGTAATATGATGCAGAATCTTTTATGGATTCGAACTCGATTTCTGTAGTTTACCTACTTTATAACGCGTAGGGCTTTCACTGTGTAATATAAACATAAAAATAATATTGTCGAATCATCAAGGGATTTTTTTCACATAAAATATCAAAAATTAACATATATATTCTGATGCACAGATCTCTTATTTTCTTCATGTAAGTCCCATATCTTTCAGCACAAGGAAAATATCCAATATTTTTTTCAAAGTAGATTATGCAGAACTAAAACTAATTATAATTGCTTAAAAGTCATACATATATTAGAGTTAAAAGTATACTTCATTATACCAAAAGATATAATCTATATTGCAAGTATTGAACGACTTTGCATGTTAAACATTTTGTCAAGGATTTTTTTTATTTGCCAAAATAACGTACAAACTTCCGTAGTTCTCAAGAACTGCAATTACTAACAACATGATTCACTATAAATTCCACAAAATATACAATCTGCACTATCTTTTAAAGGAACGTAATGTCCCGCAATAATTCACTGTCAAGGTTGCAATCTACGAAATTATTAAAATGTAGATAATGATTTTAAATGTACAGATTTTCTAAATTAATAACATACACATAGGTTAAGCACATGCAATTGATAAAAAAAGAGGTTATTTTCACATTTAAAATTATGATTTATTAATAAGATAAAATTCTTTAAAATACTCGTATAAATCGCTGTGATTCATGCAAGTAGTTCATATAATCTGTTTGTTGGTGCATCATTGATGCAATAAGGTTCGATTTCAATTTCTTCCATATTCCTATCATATCTGCCTAAATTGGTGTGTTTCTGAATTTCTTCGGCTCGTATCATTTGGTCACATAGGGAGTCCGTAAAATCAAAGGCATCCTGTAGAATTTTCAAACTTATTTTTGAGCACTCTGCTTTTAAGCGTTCATCCTCACATATCTCTTCGGGAATATCTCCCCTAGAGCTGAAAAATGAATACCAATGTTTCTTTGGCTTTGGTTTGCTTTCAATATCTCGAATAAATTTTTTGTAGTTGGAAAGCTTTGATATTTCAGTTTGATATATTTCGTATGAAAAAAATATTGTATCTCCGAAAGCTTTACTGAGTTGCGAAAATCTTTGAATAATTTCATTGCTTGGTGTGAATGTTTGTGTGTATGCAAAATAAAGTTAAACAAACACGTCCCACTCATTACATAGCCAGATCATATTTTCTGACAATTTACGAAATTGATCCAAAATGCAAATGCCAAATTTGTTTAAAATTCTCTTATCCTCTCTGAGTTCTGGAAGATGAGTTTGAACAAAATTAACGACGCTTTGAAGAAAATCGGAACTAACAATCTCATTATTAACTTTGAACTCCATTAAAAAGGTGACATTTAAAATTTTGGCAATTTTTAAAAATTTTCCGGCGAAATACATATATCATAGTTTTAGTACCTATAAGGATGTCAATTTGGAATAAAAGTGAGAAAAATCCTAAAATGCTAAAAATGAATTTTCCAAACGTATTTTTTTATCTCATTTTTTTGATTTTGAAAAAAATTTGGAGAGAAGAACTCTTCGTTTTTGAATTTTATCACGATGGTTTTAAAGTATATTAGACACATGTATTGGTATTACTATTTTTGTATATTTTGAGAGAAAATCCCTAAAAAGTGAGAAAATCTAAGACGGTTTGATAAAATATATAAACTATTGAAAATTTGAATTAAACTTCTAATTTGGAAAAAAGAAATTTGGAAAGAAGAAAATTCAAAAATCGAGATTTAGACTCAGCATCAAATGGAGAACAAAATGTTTCTTCATATGAAGGAAAAAAATTTTCTTGTGAAGAAATAGAGTTTTGAAAATTGTATTGTATGTAATGAAATAAACAAATATTAAAATTATTTTTTGATAACAAGAAAATTCCCAATAGAAAATATTTGAGAGAAAGAAAAAAAGAAAATTAAAAAATATTACTCTCCTTTATATTTCATGAGATTTTAAATTTATTCTCATAAAATTGACAATTTTATACGTTTAGATGAAAATAAGTGATTTTGGTTGAAATAGAAATTATTATTTGCTTACAGCTATCAAATAGATTTTTGCTATTTTGATTAAAATTTGTTAATCAAATTAATAAATTTTTTCTAAATATCTTAAATATCTGGATCACTCACATATACAATGAATTGAACGATAAAAATAATACAAACTCAACTAAGTTTTCTGTCTTTCAACTCAAAAAAATTATGCAAATTAAATTAAATTGTTTATTCAAATATAAAACAAAGATGAAGTAATTACAGTTATCATAAACTTTATGAATAACTCTGTAATTGGTTCAGATTTTCGTAAAAATATTTTTATTAATATCGATAAGAATACGTTTACCTACTATCACAACATATCGATAAACAAGAGTAGAGTGATTTTTATCATCGAAACTTTTTAAAAGCTGTAAGCTGGAAGGAAAAATCTTGTTTTTTCTGAGTTAGTTGTAGAACTATTGATGCACGAGTTATCATTGTGATGTAGAAGGATGTCAATGTACTGACTGAAGGATATGAAGTGAATTGAATTTCATTGAATTTCAATTTGATCAAAATTTGTTGAAATGATATGAATGTGTCAACATCTGTATCACTCTCTTTCACTCCTTCCCTATTTTTTCGAGAACGAAGCTATCTCAGCTTTCGCTGAGCGAATTGACACTTTTGATGCCCTAAACGTACATGCTCTCAAATTTATCGAAAAAAATTATACCACCTAAACTAGTATATTCTTATTTTAAATATGATATTATCCTTAGAATCCACACTAGAATATACTTAAATCAACTTTTAAAAAAGTTCGAATCCTGCGCGTCTCACTTTTTAAATTTTCGAAAAGGAAAATTATATTCTCCTAAAATGAAAACAATTTTCCGAATTGACATCCTTAGTACCTATTTTTATTTCCTTTTTCTCCTTTTTATTATTTGTATTTAAGGGTGCCTGATAGACGATATGTCATCCTCAGAAAAATAACCTTAAATTTAAAACTTGATTTTAGATGCCTAATTTTGGCTCCTCGAAATCAATTTTTTTTATGAAAAAACAACTTTGCTGAAATATGATCCTCATCAAGTAATAAGTCTTTTCTTAATATTAATCAGTCATTTTAATATTTTATATTCAATTTACAATATTAATTTCGACAAAAGTAACTTCTCAGCAGAAAACAATCCCACAGGTTATACAACATATTTGTTAGCATCATTATCATCTATTCGATTTACCTTTAATTTAGCTTTTTGTGAAATTGATTATTCCAATTACGGAACAGTGCTTACAACATCCAGTAAAAACTTCTTATATTGTGATATACCATATGAGGCGCAATGAAAATAGATGTCAATTTCAAAAACAGGAAAGAATAAAAAAATTGTTCATAATTATAAATCAAAGTTTAATTTCCTAAGGAATAACAATACTATGGAATGCATATTTATTGTTTACTAGTAAACTATATCTTTACTAATATTATTTTAATTATTTTTTTTTAATATCCTATTAAAGGTGAAATCGCTGTGATTCATGCAAGTAGTTCATATAATCTGTTTGTTGGTGCATCATTGATGCAATAAGGTTCGATTTCAATTTCTTCCATATTCCTATCATATCTGCCTAAATTGGTGTGTTTCTGAATTTCTTCGGCTCGTATCATTTGGTCACATAGGGAGTCCGTAAAATCAAAGGCATCCTGTAGAATTTTCAAACTTATTTTTGAGCACTCTGCTTTTAAGCGTTCATCCTCACATATCTCTTCGGGAATATCTCCCCTAGAGCTGAAAAATGAATACCAATGTTTCTTTGGCTTTGGTTTGCTTTCAATATCTCGAATAAATTTTTTGTAGTTGGAAAGCCTTGACATTTCACATTGATATATTTCGTAAGAATGGAATATTGTATCTCCGTAAGCTTTACTGATTTGTGAAAATCTTTGAACAATTTCATTGCTTGGTGTGAAAGATTGTGTGTATGCAAAATAAAGTTAAACAAACACGTCCCACTCATTACATAGCCAGATCATATTTTCTGACAATTTACGGAACTTATCCAAAATGGAAATGTCAAATTTGTTTAAAATTCTCCTATCCTCTCTGAGTTCTGGAAGATGAGATTGAACAAAATTATCGACGCTTTGAAGAAAATCAGAACTCACAATCCTATTATCAACTCTGTATTCCATCAAAATTTTTAAAAAGTGACATTGAAAATTTTCATTCAATTATAAGGATGCAATCTTGGCAATTCTAAAAATTTTTACGGCGAAATTGGAATTTTTCGCCCAATGAAATATATATATTTCATAGTTATAAGTATTTAGTTTTATGACCTTTTTTTGCCCCTCCTTTTTCTTCTTTTGATTATTTTGTATTTGAGGATGCCCTATAGACGATAGACCGCCCTCAGAAAATTAACATTAATTTTCATTTTGAGCCTTCTAGCCTCTGTCTAAGTACCACCTCAAGTGGAATGACTTTTAATTTAAAAAAAACGTTTGATTAATTTGTTGAAAAACATGAAATTTATTAAAGATATAAATTTACCCTTTTCCGACGTTTTATCAGGGGCGCGAAGCGACCCAAAAATGCCGGAAAAGTGTAATTCTCAGGTATATGATTATTTTTGCTTTTAATGCCGAACAGCATTTGAATCAAAAATAATCGTATGTCTGAGAATTTTAATTTTTTAAAACATTTGATTAATTTGTTGAAAAATATGAAATTTATTAAAGATATAAATTTTAATTTTTTAAAACATTTGATTAATTTGTTGAAAAATATGAAATTTATTAAAGATATAAATTTTAATTTTTTAAAACATTTGATTAATTTGTTGAAAAATATGAAATTTATTAAAGATATAAATTTTATTTTTTTTAAAACATTTGATTAATTTGTTGATTCTGATAAGAGGGTGGATCTGAGATCAGTGATAGTAGCTAATTCAGGGTTATCTCTAAGCGACTGTTCCTTATCCCATGTCTCCTTGAGTTTGGATGGCCAGCAAACCCAAATCAAAGAAACAATGAAGAAGAATGCGAAACAAATCATTGCCAAAGTAAATGTATTAAATTGGCAAGCTTGTCCTATATACCAATCGTTGCAGAGACACTTTCCATCACCGGATATTCCATCGACGCAAACGCCGTTGTCGCCGCAATCTCCGCATTGAGTACTACACTTCTGGCCGAAGTAGCCAAGCTCGCATTGATAGGCAGAACATGCTCTGAGCATTGTTGCTGGAACTGGAGCCCAAAGACAATCAATAAACGAGCCGGATTTATCGGCTTTTTGGTAATACAACTTTAAGTACTTCGTATATTGACCGCCGCAACCGGATTTGTATTGTAATGTGAATGGATATAGTTTGTGCTGCGTCATATTGTATGGCTGTGTTTCTGATATAACTGTCCTGTTATCGCAGACTTCTGATGGGAATCCTTCGTCAGGATTTGTAATGTCCCAGTCAGGGAGGATGGAGAGATGCACAGTTGGCTTGCCTTCAGCTCTGAATCTGTATAATCCGTCTTGTGGAGCGGAAAGAGAGCCTGTAATCGTAATCGATTCGTAGTTTGTCGTTGAAGGAACATTAACAGTAGCTGTAGAAACAATTTGTCTGGACTTGACATTTCCGAAATTCTCATCTGAATGCCATAGAAGGTTTGCTGACTGAGGACATGAGATGGAATCTCCACTCAATGAGTTATAGATCTCTATGGAGCAGTTCGGTCCTGTGAAGCCACTTTGACATTCGCATTTTCCGTCTAATGAGCATTGTCCGTGCTGTCCACAGGTTTTAGTTGGGTGGCAGTATGTTCTGCAGTTATGGCCGTAGTAGTTCTCCTCACAGATGCAGCTTGACTGTGACTTTTCTGGGTCAAGATAACAACTGCCGTGGTCACCGCAATCTAATGAACAATGGTCGGTACAGTTAGGTCCAGAATATCTGTCTAAACATGTTCTATCTGTACAAACTCTCAAGTTTTCGTTAGGAACTAAAACAAAATCATCTTTTTCGTTGAATCTCCACCACAACTGGATTCTCTGTGTATATAATGAGCATCCTGACCTGTAGTTGATCTGGAATGGGTAGTATTTGTGTGGCAAAAGATCCATGAAAGTCGTGGCCTCTTCAGTTTGGCCTGCATCGCATCTTCCCGCTGTTCCTATTGATGATGGAACAGTTTGGCCGTTGATGGCAAGCTGGCCAACTGGTTTTCCGATGATTTTGAATTGGACATTCGCTGGTTTGTCCAGTAAAATGGATCCGACCACTCTAGCTGAGTTATATGTGACTTCGCCAACAAGGATATCGACCTTGTCGACCTTTTCTGGGCCTTCAACGATACCTTCGAATGATATCTCATTCTTGTAGCGGGTATACATGACTCCCTTGTCACAATCAGCGCTAGGAGGAATAATTGGAGTGGTCCTGTCGCAGTCATCGCCATAGAAACCTTCATCACAAACGCATTTTCCTTCTTCGTTGCACATTCCGTGGCCACTGCATGTAGCGCTGGCATTGCATTGCCTTTCACAATGTTTTCCGTAGAAGCCGTCGTTGCAATAGCACTGGCCTTGATAACATGATGCATAAGCACCGCAATCAGAGTTCTTATCGCATGCATCTTGGCACTGTTCACCATGGAAGCCTGGATCGCATAAGCAGGAACCGTTACCTTGGATGCCGTCGAAGCATTTCGAATTTGGAGGACATGTTGGACAAATTCCGCGACAATCGGAACCGTACATGCCTGGAACGCATTCTTGGGATGCACATTGATAGATCGTATTGGCTGGAAGGTATTCCCATGGAGCTCTGTTCAAATCTCCTCCGTATTGAGGTCCATTCTTCCAGTAGAGCTCAAGCTTTTTACTATAGAGACCACATCCGGCTCTGTATTTGATTAAAAATGGAACGGTCTGGTTCGAATACATAAATAAGGTATCTGTGTTGACATCATCGATAAATATGCCTAAACAAGAGCCAGCAGGTCCTAAACTACTTGGATATGACTTACCGCCGATCTGTAGCTGTCCATATGGCTTTGCAACCATACGGAACTGATATTCACCAGTAATTGGAACAAGAATTGAACCAGAAACGACAATAGCGTTGTAAGTGTAATGGAGATCAGGATAGTTGATTTGTGGGACTGTCTTGTTCTCTTTAATGCCTGCAAACCAGATTTCATCTCTGTAAGTAACCCAAATAGCTCCATTAGAGCATTTCGGTGGGACAAATGGTTCCTTGCTTTGGCAATTTGGAGGGATGTAGCCTTCATCGCAAATACATCCTCCAGTTCCTGTAATATTGTCATCGCAATGGCCATGACCATTGCAATCAATTGTGCATTGATTATCGCAATGGATGCCGTAGTAGCCCGGATAGCAAGATTCGTCGTCTGATGTAACCCAATCTGAAGTATACTCCCAATCGCCTCCATTCTTGGCTGTCTGAATGTAGAGATGCTGAGTGTATAAGTTGCAGCCCGTACGAAGCCACATGATGAATGGATAGAGCTTGCCAGCATAAAGAGTGAATTCATCTGATGATGTATCGCCCATGATTGAAGGCCAGCATGCACCTGCTGGGCCTAAAGAATTAGGATAGGTATGAACGGTTCCATCGACAGTGACTTTGAATTGAATATATGACTTTCCTTGTACTCTAAATTTGTATTTGCCTGTCTCAGGTGGATTGAATGAACCATGAACAATGATTCCTTTGTAAAGTTTCTTGAATTCACCAACATTACCATTTGGAATAATTTTCTTTTCTGACTGCCTTGAGAATAACACCTCGCCATCATAGACCTCATAGTAAAGTCCTTGTGTGTAACCTGAAGGAGTGATACTCAGGCCTATAAAAGCGAAGAAAGCAGTTAACATTTAATAATGGATTATGACGCTGATTTTCGTCAATCAATAAACCTTTCAAATTTTGATAAAGTATTTTCAAACAAAATTAAAATCTTAAGAGTACTTATGCAAGTGGATAAATTTTACATCCAAATGTCGATAAAAAAGCTGAATACGATACAGAATTTTGAGAGACTCACAGTGGATTCATGAGATTATTTTGCTTAAAACATATGCAAGAGAATTGTTTCTAAAAAAAAATCTTGAATAACAGAGATATTGTAAAGTAGTAGGATATGATGGGTTTTGTGACTTTTTTTGTAAACGTAAGAATTCATACAATATCGAGCGATTTTGTATCATTTTTTTTTACATATGAAGTAAAAAATGTATGATTCTTACGGTTTTTATTCTTACGTTTTTGAATAAATCAAGATTTAAAAAATTTTCAAAATTGTAAGACATTTACACTCAACCCATACATAATGAAATAAAAAAATAAAATTTTTTAAAAAATAAACCATTAAAAAATTAAAGTTATTTTTAAAAATAATTTATTTTTTTATTCTTACATAAATGACCCAACAAGTAAAACCAGATAAAATAGATTATCAAATTTTAGAGGATGGTGTTCCTGTTTATATTCAAAGATTTAAAGGGAAGCAATATTATAGAATTGTTAATCCTGAATACATAAAACATTTATTTAAAAAGGAAGACTGTGAATTATTAAACGCTAATGAATATGAAACCAATAAATCAAAATTGAAATATAAATATATTGGAAGTGATGAAAGATGCAAAGATAAAGATAAAGTTTATACAGTTTCATATAATGAATGGAAAACCAATAAGATAAGAAAACATTTAGGAGATTATGGTAAAAGTTCTGAATTCTTTAAATCTAGTATGTACGAGAGAGTAAAAGAAATTAGAAATAATTATTTTCATGAATAAAAAATAAATTTTAAAAATTCATGTCTTACATTTTTTGAATAATTTATTTTTTTATTTTGTATGAAATGAGCGTCAAAACTAACAACGTTAAAAAATTAGGATTCACAAACGAGGAAATAAAGGATATATTAGAGGAGGCGGGTTATGAAGTTGATAAATATTATTTAAGAAATTGTAAAAAATTCGCGGAGTTATTAAATGATTTAGATTATGATGGAAAAATGAATAAAGATGATGTTATAAATTTCTTATATCCCACATCTAAAGAAGAAAAACCTAAAGAACCTGATGTTTTCCCTGAATATTATGAAGAACGAATTAAAGATGATGAATATGATGAAATTGAAAGACTGGAAAAAATAAGAGATGAAATAGATGAAAAAATTAAGGAATTAAGAGAAGTTGAAAAATATAATGAAAATGAAGTAGAGGGTTTAATGAATATCCCAGCTTCAGAATCAGAAGTACAGAAATCTCATGAAGAAAGATATAAAAATTATGTCTCAGAATCAACACAAAATTTATTAGATGGTGAAATAAACGAAACACTTTCAGAAGAAGGTACTAAATTTATTCGTAAACATAAGTTACAATTTATTGATAATGAAGAATACCCCTGTATATTACTTTCACCTCCTCTTGATTCCGAAAAATTCAAAAAAGCATTGAAAAACGTGACATATGCAACTAATACGATTAAGAAAGAAGATCATGATATTTACACAAATTATTATTTAAATAAATGCACGGGTGTTGATAAAGTTTTTGATTTATTAGATAAAATATCAAAAGAAACCATTGGAACCTATAAAATTTTGTGTGATTGTGGTTTCATTATTGAAGATACCAATAATGTTTCATATGAAAGAACAGCACCGAAGGAAGACGAAGTGGAAAGGTCTATACCATTCGTTATTAAGAATATAAAAGATATGAAAACTTATAAGCATTATATTTATTCATTTATTTCAGAAAAAATGGAAGCAACCCATAAAACATCATCTCATCATTTTATAGCTATTCATACATTCCTTTTCAAAGTTGTGAAATTAAATAAGACAGGAATTAGATTTAATGTATCAGGGTACGCATTCTTGAGTAAATTAAAATGTATTCGTCACGTCGCAGATGATAAAAATTTATGTGTTCTTAATCCATTTTATGGGCTTTAAAAAATAAACTTTATTTTTATTTATTTTTTAATTTTTTATTCTTACATAAATGAACAAAAATGGAACCGCTAAAATGAATGATAATCAAATTAGAGCAGAAGGTAGAAGGTTATTTAAACGCTTCTATAACATTCCTGATGGTGTTAATCCTAAAACTCATAGAAGCTATTTAAATGAAGCAATAGATGCATATGAAGGGTTTGACATTTCATCAGAAAGTGAGAGATTAGCGAGAATGTTAAATGTTAATATTGATTTCTATTATTGTGATCCTCAACCAGAAGACGTGGACATAAATAAGGTAGACTTTCCATTAGTGGAATCAATAATGATAGATCCAGAATTTGAAACAGTAAATATTTTATTAACACAGAGTCCATGTGGAAAACTTCACGCTGACAGAATAACAGACGTTGAAGCACTCACAGGATATAAAGTTTGCCCCTTTTGCAAAGAAGAAGTATATTCTATCCGTGATGATCCAGAAAGGAAAAACCAAAGAAGATTTTTAAAACATTGTGAGAAATGTAAAGAAAATAATGGAAGATTAATTCAAGACGTTCAATTGCAAAACACACAACAACCATATGCACCACATATCACGAAACAGAAGATATATCAATGGCTATTAGCACATAATTTGCAGGAATATTATAAACCAACAAGATATTATATTACTTTTGACTTCGAAACATTAGAGACTAAAGAAGAACTTCAACTTTCTGAATGTGCAACTTTGAACGCTTACTTAAAACCATTTATGGTATCATCAACTGTCAAAATAAAGCCGCAAAGCGGCGAGGTCGTAGACCGTGATAAAACATATACGAGGAATTTTTGCTTAACATCAAGTGATTCGTTCATCTCTGATTGGATTGAATTTTTATTTTCAACCTGTTCATTAGTTGCTAAATCAAATATTGAACAATATGAAGAATTAATGAAGTCGCAAACATTAAATGAGAAACAAAAGGAAGCAATTAAAGAGCTTTTAGATGAAGAATTTAATAAAGTGAATATCATTGGTTTTAATTCGGGAAAGTTTGATTTAAATTTAATTCTTCGTGATTTAAACACTGCAAAATGGAAAATAAAATCAATGCTGGGTTCATCTTCTCAATTTAAGCAAATCATTGTAAAGAAAACAAACGTTCCATATGAATTGAGATTTATTGACATCAGAAATTATATAGCGGGTGGGACATTAGACCAATTCACTCAAGATTTCGGAAACAATAAATCACGTGTTAAATCCTTTTTCCCTTATCAATTCATCACATGGGAGAATTACGAAGAAGAATTATATAAAGAGGAACCATTCACGAAAGATTCATTTTATTCAGCATTAACCCAAGAAACTATATCCGATTCAGATTATCAAATATATCTCAATGATGCTAAAAATTTTAAGAATAGATTAGAATATTTTATTCATTATTGCAATAAAGATGTTGAAATTATGATTGACCCAATTGATAAAATTATTGAAGAAACATTTGTTTATAAAATTGACATGCTTCATAATCTTTCTTTATCATCGAATGCATCAATGATTCGTTACGCTTTAGCATATAAAGACTTTAATCCTAACGAAAAATATCCAGAAGAAGAAAATGTGGAATCAAGTTTTGAATTAACGAAAAAGTATTGGAAATATAAAATTGAAGCATATAAGAAACAAGATGAAAAAGCAGAAAGGGATACTAAAAATAATGTTTCAATGGATGACTATCAATACTATCACGATTTAATCCTTTCATCTAAATGCAAAATGTGTGGTAAAGCGTTTACATATGCAAATAAACCAACATTAGATAGAATCGATAATGAAAAACCACATACCAAAGAAAATTGTCAGTTAATGTGTTGTTATTGCAAATGTCGTAAAATCAAATAAAGATGAAGATGTTCAACGTTTAAGAATCAATTTAAGAAATTATGCATTAAAAAATAATTTACCAATGACTTTAGATTCAGTTGAAGCTTATCACATTCTCCGTAATGGAATTACTGGTGGTCTATCAAATGTTCAACATCGTGTTAATCTTAAAGGAATCACGCACATTAATAAACTTTCATATAATCCAGAAACTAAAACTGTATCAAATGAGGACACCACCAACATTATGACTCATTTGTTGGTGTTGATTTTAATTCATTATATCCTTCATCATTTTCATCTAATCCTCATGATTTCATTCAATATACTGACCATAAAATGTATATGCCGGGAAGATTGAATGGTGTTATCATTTGTGATACAGCAACAAAGAAAGCAAAAGCACTGGGAATATTAGAAAGAAAAATACTTTATTCGTGGCTGAAGTAAAGGGTCACATTGATGAAAAATACATTAATGATTACATAAACTTTTTACCGATAATAAGAAACTTAGATATTATCACAGATGAAAAAACAATTGGCAGTTTTATGTATAATTACATGAAATCAAACAATCTACCAGTTGACCAGAAACAGAGGAAATTAACTCAGTTAGCATCAACACACAACCAATATCAACCATTTTCTTCTTATTATCTTTGGTATCTAATCGACAGATTTCATTTTATCATTGATGATATTCAATCAATTTTAACATTTACGAAAAACACTTGCTTTAATGAATTTGCGAACGAATTTATGAACGAAAGACAAAAGGCTGAATTAGAAGGAAATAAAGGAAAAAGTTTATTTTGCAAGATTTCACTTAATGGATCATATGGTTACGATGCAATGAATACGCAAAATTACGCAAAGACTAAAATAATGAATACACAGAAGGCACGCGTTGCATGTATGTCAAATAAGTTTAAAAACATAAGAGAAATAGGTGAAGATACGTATCAAGTGATGCTTAAAGATAGATTTTATAGATGTGATACATGTTTACAAGAGGCATTCTTCACTTTAGATAATGCTAAATACTGGTATTTGGTTTTCATTTATGATTTTATGTATAAATGCATGAATGTTAATCGTTTTCATTTCATTGAAGGTGATACCGATTCATCTTATTGGGCAATCGCTGGCGACCCAAATCTTCCTAACACTCAAGCATTTCAAGCAATTGTTACCGATAAAAAATTTTATGATAAAAACATTTTCAAATTCGCACCATTTGATTTCTTCTGTTTTGATGAGAAATTTAAACCTAAATTAAAGAATAAAGCTGAAGAAAAAGCACATGAGAAGAAGTTATTGGGTTTAGCAATTGAGAAACAAGGTGATAACATGGTTGGTTTATGCCCCAAGTGTTATACATCATTCAACGGTTCAATTGATGGAAGTGATTTTAAAAAGATTGCACAAAAAATGAAAGGTGTTAGTTTAAGACAAAATAAACAATTAACACCTAAAAATTATTTGGATATAATAAATGATAAAGTGATATTTGATGGTCAGAATATTAATTTACAACTTAAAAACGGGTCAATGACTCGCTTAACAATTGGTAAGACTGCATTAACAGGAGCACACACTAAGGCTGTATGTTGTGAAAATGGATGTTGTATGCCGTTTATTTAATACAATTTTAAATTTTATTTTTAATGAAATGCCACAGAAGAGACAAAAGGAACCGTTAATGATGGTTTTGTACTATGATTCAAAGAGGTGGGCACCCTTAAAACATTTATTTTATTTTTATATAAATGGATAACACAGATTTAAAAATTTTAATAGATGATTTAGTATTTTATCAAAATTTTCTTGATTATTATGATTTAAAAGCATATCTCCAAAAATATAATAAAAATATAACGGGTGATGATATGGATTATTATTATTCGTATTATAAAAATGAAATTTTGAAATATCATGATAAAATAATTTCTAAAATTAAAGACAAAATTAAAAATAATGAATATACAAAGGGAAAAACTAAATCACAACTTAAACAGTTGAAAGATTTCAAAAATAAAGTATTAACAGAAGAAGATATTGATGAATTATATAAATTATATAATCCCGAGCCGCAAAAGCCAAAGGAACAAAAACAAATGGTACAAAACGCCCAGGTCCTTCAGACCATAAATGATGCACAAGCTTTAATTTATGATTCATTAGTTAAACCATATTCAGCCCGACTTTTAAATGAAGATCAACTTTTGGAATTCATCCTTCAACATAAACTCGAAGCGGGAAAGTATATCAAACCTTTATATACAGCATATTTAAAACAAATGAATAGAATACATCCAGAATTAATGAAAGGAGGAATGAAATCCAAAATCAAAGCAGATAAAATTAAACCACTTGCAACACCAAAACCTCCAACGACAGTAGTACTCCTCCTTCAGTTAATCCTTCATCATTCACTTTATTATATCCATTTCAAACATTAAAGAAGCAAAAAGATTTTAAAAAGGATTTCAAGATATTAAATAAACCAATTGACCCAAAAATTCAACCGTTAAAGGAAAAATTTAGTCGCCCTTCATTTGCACTATATCCATATTCATACGAAATCGATCATCTGGAATATTCAAAAGGAAACGTTACTTATTTATTTGCCATTAACATTAACACCAGATATTTATATTGCATTCCGGTGAAAGGGAAAACAGAACAGGAAACAAGAAGAGCTATACAATACTTACTAGATCATGAAAGAGTAGATAATATCAGGGGTGATGGTGATAAAGGATTTCAGGCAGCTATGACTCATTATTTCCCACAAATTAATTTTTACTTTTCATCCTCTCCATATACGTTTCATAATAAAATAGTTGATGCGGTAATGAGAACTCTTAGAGATGCGTTAGGGGTTAATGGTCAGATATACTGGGATGGAAATCATGACTCCATCATACAGCAGTTAGTATATTATTACAATAATACATGGCATAGAACTATAAACATGAAACCAGTGGAAATGAAAAATGATATTTCAAAAGAATGGGAATATATTAGAAAGCAAATGGAAAGGTTAAATGATGTTAAACGTGAACAAATTAATTCAGGGCTCATGAATTTTAAACAAGGAAATAAAGTTTTAATTCATCTCGATTATGGAAAAACTGATAAATCAATGACAAAAAGAAGACGAAGATTTGACACAATAGCTGAATTTGTTAGATATATTAACGGCAATGCATTAGTTGAAGTTGACAATAAATTAATAGAAATTCCAATTTATTTTATTACTCCATTATATTTAAATAATATTTAATTTTTTTATTTCGTAAGAAATGGGTGACAACGAAGCAGTCAAGAGTCCAGACAATGAATATAAAAAGAAACTAAACAGAATTAAATCAAAAATATGCTATTACAAAAAGAAGCCACAATGCGGTGGGGTTGAAAACGATAAAGAAATAATCGAAAAATTAGAAACTTATCGTTCAATCCTTAAACTGAGTGAAGCAAAAATAAAAGAATTTAATAGAATAAATAAATTGATTGGAAGAGATGAATTTAATAAAGATGAATTTTTAAACTCTATCCAAATTTAATTTTTATTCCTCTTCGACAACATCTCTCTTTCCATCATTACTGCATAACCACATTTTCTCAATTTTAGTGGTTTGTTATTTTTAACATGTTCTTGCATCATTTTTATCATTTCCTCCCTTGTTATGATTCGTGGTAAATTTTGAGCTTGTGGGGTATCCATTTATGATAAAAATAAAAATTTAAATTATGCCGTTCTAAAGTTTGAGACAACATGACATTTTGACAACAACACAGGAAATAAATGTTATCGTTTATGTTTTCATTAATGATTTTAGGTTATTCAATAATTAATTATTTTTGAATAACTGGGAAATAAATTTACGTCAAATATGCAATTTATAAAATCTTATGTCGACAGGCTACGTAGCACGGTGGTCTAAGGTGGTGTTATGGAGGGGTCAGGGTCTGTGGTTCGAACCGCGACAGCGCCGTATTTTCTTATTTTCTTTGTTTGTCTTGTTTGTCGTGAATAAAAAGTGTCATAAAAGTGCTCTATCTTCCACGGGAATAAATAAAAAATTTACTTGATTTCTTCTTTATTTCTTCTTTATTTCTTTGTTCCCGTGGAAGAAGGGTTTTGCTGTTTTTTCTAAGCCGAAATCAATGATTTTTTCATTTTTGGAATCCTTAGCGAATGAGGAATCTTTTCTCTCGTGGAAGCTTTGACCAAAAATATATTTTAGGTGAAGAGGTGAGATCTCACCTGTTTTTTCACCTAATTTTTCACCCCAGTTATTTTATAAGCGTTTTACATGGTAAACGTTATTTTTTAAATTTTGTGAAAACTCAACGGTTTGACACATGCCCTAAAAATTATTTTACTCAGAATTTTGTTGCTGAATTCAATAAAAATATATTTTAGGTGAAGAGGTGAGATCTCACCTGTTTTTTCACCTAATTTTTCACCTCAGGAATTTTCATGAATTTTCCCGAAATAAAAAATAAAGTTAGTTTTATTTTTTATTTTTTTTATTTTGTATGTAAAGATATGATTTCAACAATCGGCACAACAGCAATACAAGCCGCGAACGGCGGGGCTCTGTCCACAACTACAGCACCAAACTCGTTAGTCATGAATCCTACGTCAATGTTAGTAGAGATGAAAAGCTTCATTCCTTCTTCATATACTTTCGAAACAAAAATCCAGAAGATAAAGCAAGAACTTTTAACAAGTAATTTAGACTGTAGTGCGAAAGATGAAACAAATGAACAGTATCTTTATGAAATGCAGGACATTATTGACCATTTACCTAAACTACCTGAAATCCAACAACAAAAACTAACTATTCCTGAATTCGACGAAATTGAAGTCAAAACAACTGACTCAGTAGAAATAAAGAAGTTCATACGTAAAGTAAATTATGAATTCCTTGGTTTTCATTGCAACCATAAAGTTATGGACAAAGATTGCGACATGGTTTATAAGAATGTTTCTGACATATATAAATCTGAAGAATTTAAGACCTACGATAACTTTGTTTCATTAGTTGCTGAATGTGTTTGGGAAATAAGAGATAAAGATAGAAGAGGCAAAGTATGGAACGAACAACTAAGACCCGCTATGTTTGAGATGAAGAGAGCAATTGACGCCTTAGTTGTTTTAGCAGGTCAAATTTCAATGTATAACGCAAAAATGAACCCGCAATGTTCAAAATGTAAGGCAGCGATGAGGAAATATAACTACTCCGTCAAAGAGATAGAAAGAATGAGAAACGACTATGCAGATTTAAAGAAAGAAGTAGAAAACCCAGCAGAAAATAAAATGGATATGTTGACATTTCTGAACAAAAATTATCCAACTGCTGACGATTTCCTTCTATCTGACGTCAAGAAGAAATATAAAGAAACCTTCGGCATTGTTAAAACATTCGATGTACTAAAAGAAGAAATAGAAGCTACGAAATTGTTTAGGATTTCAAATATACATCGTACAATTCATGTAAAACGCTTGTGAAAAAACTGAGGTGAAAAATTAGGTGAAAAAACAGGTGAGATCTCACCTCTTCACCTAAAATATATTTTTGGATCATTTACGCTCATTACGAAGAAGTCTTGACAAAACATTAACGATGAAGAAATCATGACAAATCATTTACGAAGAAGTTTCGACAAAACATTTACGATGAAGTCATGACAAAGCATATACGTTCATTACGATGAAGAAGTCTTGACAAAACATTTACGTTCATGTTTGACAAAACATTTACGAAGAAGTCATGAAAATTCCTGAGGTGAAAAATTAGGTGAAAAAACAGGTGAGATCTCACCTCTTCACCTAAAATATATTTTTGGATCATTTACGCTCATTACGAAGAAGTCTTGACAAAACATTAACGATGAAGAAATCATGACAAATCATTTACGCTCATGTTTGACAAAGAATATACATTCATTACGATGAAGAAGTCATGACAAAGAAACGATGAATGATCATGACAAAACATTAACGTAAACATTTATTTCCTGTGTTGTTGTCAAAATGTCATGTTGTCACATTTTTCAGAGAAGTTAAATTACCTGGTGACCTGGTGACCCCTTCAGTTATTCAATAATTAATTATTTTTGAATGACCTGAAAACATTAACATAACCATTAACGTAACCATTAACATAACCATTAACATAACCATTAACGTAACCATTAACGTAAACATTAACGTAAACATTTATTTCTGCAGTTCATCCATTACTTCATTACCTAATTAATTACAGACATAAAATATATTTAGTTCATTCATTGAACTCTATACCATGCGTAAACTGTCATAAATGGCGGCATGTAATCTTTACTTTGTCCCGTTGTTTGTGTATATCCTGAAACGCGATGTGTATGGTTTCCTCCTCCCTCAGTGTTACTCCAGTAACAATCTATAGCAAACTTAACGTTGTCTTTAACATCATATCCTTTACCTTTTGTCATTGCTGACCAATCCCAATATCTATGCTTATGCCAACCCGCTTGAGATGTACTTAAATCTATGTAGTGACTGTGTGCAGGTAAATTTTCACCTGTAATCGTTTTACTTCCTCCTGTTTCCTTTGAAGAGTTTGCACAATACAAAAACCTGTCAACTATTTGTTCCCACATACCGAAACCCAGAACTGTTGCTGGATTTGTTGAGTTCATTGACGTATAAATAGAGCCTATAGGATATAATGTTTGAAGTATTTCTGTCTTTAATGTTTGAAGCTCTTTTTTGTCTGCTTTCTTGTCATATAAATCTTGAGCAGTGAATTTAATATTATGTTCATCCTTCATGACATAAACATCTTTACATCTAATGTTTCTCATCGTCGTTATGTTGTCATCCGATGTTAAACCTTGTGGAAAGTTAGGAGGTTTACAATATAATACATCCCCACCAGTTTCTTCAACCGTTCCTTCAATACTTTCTATAGCAACAGTTGTAAAACTTGTATGTGTATGGTTCTTATCTGCCTTCTTCATTAACTCATTGTTAACATAAGTTTTATCTGCTTTAAGGTCTAAACATTCTGAAACCCATCCTGTATCAGCTTTAGTTTTAAGAATCTTCGATGTCCGTCCATGATACCATTCAACCCTTTCTATAATTTCATTATCTTTTTCATTAACATATTCATTATCTGCTTTCTTCATTAATTCACTAACCACAAGTCCCTTATCTGCTTTCTTCATTAACTCACTATCCACGTATTCCTTATCTGCTTTCTCCATTATGTCATTTAGGAAACCTTTTATGAATTCCTCATTTAAATTAAATCTTCCAATCTTCAAAACTTTAGGAAATGCATTTAATGCGTAATATCTCTGTTCTTCTGGTGGAATTGATGTTATATCATCCGTTATACCTTTAATTTTAGAATTCATAAATAAAATTTCTTTTATATTTGATATCACCGCACCACCTTTGCAAACGAATTCGAAATGGTCATTTTTCAATACTATCTCCAAATCTCCATATTTCAACCTTTGCGTTTGTTCTGCCGTCTTTGAATTATATGCATATATGGCGTATGTAATGGTTTGTGCCTTAAGTTGCTGTGGTTGCTGTTGTTTAATCATTTATTATGATTTAAAAATAAATATTTAATCTGTTATCTCATCAGCTATTTTTTCTATTTGAAATTGCCATAATATTTCATTCATGAATTCTAAATCACAATCAAATAGGTCAGTTACTCTAAATTTAATATTTGATAAATCTTTTGAATGAAGAATAAATGAATTCCCGGATAATTGAAACGGATATGATAAAGAAAATGTGTTTAAGTTGATGGATAAAATGTTTTGTATTGATGGGTAAGAGTTAGGGTCTAATGTTTGATGTGAAAATCTCATTGGGGTATTAACTTTATCACATTTGATTAAAATGAAATTGGAACCAGTGTCAGAATACAAAACATCCCCAACATCTTTTTCAAAATTTAATATCCCCAACAATGAACGAAGATGAGGAGTACAAAATTTAATTTTCAGCGGAAATTTAATAAGGTTATTTATTTCATCAAGTTCAAAAAGTTTATCAGGTTTTGATTTAAAATTTTCTTCATACCATATGATAAATGATTCATTTAAATAACTTAAAATCATGTTAATATCCCATTTCGTTATCACATTATTTATATACATATCATACGTTTTTTCAAGGTCATCTTTAATAAATGATATATAATCTGAAGGGTTTAAAAGAATGGGATTAAATTTACCACTCACAGAAACGAGAGTAACATTATAAATTCCGCTAACTGTTAAATTTAATTCACAGTTATTATTCGAAATAATATTGATAATTGACATTTTTATTACGATTAAAAATATGGTAAAGCGTTATTTTCCAGTGATAAATAAAACTAGAATAAGATTACCTCAAGAATTCATAAATTCAACGAATAAGAAATTCATTCATGTTATAAATTTTAGTGTTTTCAGAAAATATGAGTCAATGTCATATTCATCATCAGGTTATATTTCACTTCATTCAAATTTAGTTCAATCAAACCCATATAATGACCATTTCATAAGATTTTCAGATGGTATTAAAAATGTAATTGATAGATTAAAATATGAACAGATTGACAATATCGAATTTTTGGAATTTTGGTTTAAATATCCTGATGGAAAAAAGATTGAAGTTAAAGATAAAGCTGATACTATAACAAAAACAATTACAATGACCGATCCAGATAGTGGGGAACAAAAAGAAATAAAACAAACGATAGAAACTGGTGAAAGGTCAATTATTATCGATTATGATTCAAAGGATTATTATTCAATAATGTTAATGCTTGAATATTAAATAGCCTTAACAAAGAATTTTTCAAGTGATATTTTATATTCATCAACTATTTTATTATAAATATCATTATATGTTAAATGAAGTTCAGTTGTTGTTCCGTTCTTTGATATCTTAATTGTGCTAATATCCTTTATAGGATTTATTTTTGCAACTGTTCCGCAGCATGAAACCTCATCATCTATTGAAAAATTGAATCTTAACGTCTGAATCTTGAACATCACAAAGAATGGCGATAATGTGAATTAATGATTCATAAGGTAAAAATAATTAAACCGGATGGTCAATTAAATTATTATTGAATCATAATTATTAGTTATTTATCACGGTAAATTTTCATTAATTCAGAATTAATATCTACTTTATATGGCGCATTGCGACTGGAATCGTAGATTCCTGGGTTCTCGATGTTTGATGAAAGAGGAGGGGGGTATTTGGATAAGGGAATTTCAACATTCTTTACCGGGTTCAGATAAAATGATTGGGTCTCCATTCTCATGTTTCTTCATTCTCCTTATTCTTCGGTAAGTCACGAGTTAATAAATTTGGTTAAGTTGCTGACCTTGTTAATTCAGGGCTAACATTAACTTAACATTTTGAATAATTCGTGATTTATCATCATTTACGTTATAACCAACCGTAATCTCTTGCTTTTGCGTTAGTGTTCTTTTGACTAGTGAAACGTCTTCTCATTTATATCGAAAAAAAATATATTTAAACTTTTATTTTGCTGGAACTTTTGAATCTATTATTCCCTGTATTGTTCATGAAGTTGATTTTAGCATTTTCATCGAAATTAATAGACCTAATATATTCATTAATTGCATTTATAATCAACTGATTTCTCAAATTTTCATCACTTAACTAAATCATAAGTTAAACCTCGTTGCTGATATAATGGTTCTAATTAAATCTTTGAATGCTTGAGATAAAGCACCTGATGCAATTCTTGCTTACTATAATTGGTTGGAATTGCTGTTTAAGTTCATCTTTAACATTTGCGAAAACTGGATCGAATTAAAGCAACTTTAAAGAATTTCTTAGCTGGAATTTCAGGTCTCAAATTTGCATATTGACCATCAAACTGTTAGAATATCGGTAATCCATCCGGTCCCTCTTCAATAGCATTTAATTCCTCATTGAAATAAGAATATGGATTATGACGGTATGAATTAATTGGACCATTTTCGCCTTCTCCCAATGTATTGTTTAACAGCTTTTCCATTTTCATCAAATTGCATAGGATAATTCATTATATGCTTTACGTTTAGGATAATCAGATACAGTTAAATAACCATTTATGACTTTAATATTACCTTGACCATCAGTAACGAAAACTTCATTTATACCATCAGGTTTTCCATTTGGACCCGTAATGTCTGCTTCGTGTGCTTCCCAAACCTTGACGTTTGGCATATGCTTGAGCTTTTTGTAAAAACATTTCTCATTTGTTTAACATCCTTTTGAAGACCGGCAACAATGTGGACTAATTCTTTCATTCCGTCTGGAACTTTCATAGTTCTATTATATGCACCCTTTTTGTTTGTCCCTTGTTTTAATGGAACCTGTAGAAGATTTGCTATTTCTGTCATGTTTAATTATAAATAAAAAATAAAAATTAATTATAAAAAGTTAATCAAATTTAACACTTCCTTTATTTAAATCAACTATTATTTTTCCATGTTCTCCTAATTGTTGATATTGTGTGTAAAGTTCATTAATGCTCATTGGTAAATTCACTTGATAAAGCATAACGTTCAACTGTTGACGACTAAAACCACTGAAAATGAAAAGGGTGGACAGGTTTGATTTAATGTTTGTGCTTAATGCTTTAAAGTATTGAACAGCCATAAAGAATGAACACTGAATGTGTCGACATTGAGTTAATAACTGATTAAAATATGATTTCTCATTGTTATTAGTTTTGATTTCACGGCATCATCTAGAAAAATTAGTGAATGCAAAAATTCTTTATCAAAATTTGAAATAGAAAGTGTTTCAAATAATTCATCCCGTTGTTTATCAATAATTTTATCCTCTAATCCTTGCTTCTTGATTGTATTATATAATTCTTTATACATTAAAAAGTTTTTTAAATAATCTTCTGCTTCTTCTTGTGATAAATAAATAATTGGAATTTTGATTAAATGCTTTAAAGATTCAAATGTATCATCTGAAGGTGAACCTGAACGGTTGATATAAATTAACACATGTGAATGGGGGAAGTGTTAGCAATAATGATAATTTGTTTTAATATCGTTAATGTTTTACCTTTATTTTGTTTACCAATTGCTGCAGTGATTGAATTTAAGTAACATTCAGAATATGGAATTTTCATTAATTTTTCCTTAGATAGAGCATTTCTATTATCACTCAATGCTTCATTAATCATATCATCTACGTATGTATTATATACTCCGCTAATTCTTCATAAGGGGTGGATGAATTTAAATCCATTTAATCAAAAATAAATTTATAATTTTAAACATTTCTATTCATCAATATTTCATCATATGAACTTCTATACTGTGGTGGTGTACCTGTTGGATGATATTTCAAACCTTCATCCGGTGTCCATGTCCAATATGTAGTCCTAGTAAACCAAACCTGAGGAGGATTTGTCACCTTTGAACAGTAAGTGTCATTTTCACCCTGAATGATTGGATAAGCTTTCACTTGTACTGTAACTTGTGAGTTGAAAGTTTCTAATCCATCAAAGAATATACCCGCTCCATCACGTTGAACTGGAATAGTGCATAAGAATGAAGTTTGGTCTTTCCATGTTCTAGCTAATGGCCCATTATCATCATTCAGCGGTCTAGTTAATGAGTCCTCGTATTCTTCTGTGCATTCATTCACTCCATCTAAATCAGAAGCTTGAAGCATACGTGTAAAGAATATGTCACCCACTGTGGTCATCGCTTGATCGGGGAAGTTTCTGGAATCTATAGTGACCTGAAGACCTCGAAGCATTGGATTTTCTAAAACGTTCTTTGCATTGCATTCTTCGGAAATGTTAACACAACATCTGTAACATTATGAAGAGCGTATGAGAAATCTGAGCTAATACCTTCAGGAGTGATGCAACCTCCATTTAGTGAACGAACGTCAATATGTTGAGCTGGAATCATGAATGGATCTTCCTTACTGAATAAACGTGGTATTGCTTTAACTGATTCTTCAATTAAACCGTATCCTGGTGTAATGCATTTATCCTCTAAAACTTCCATCTTTGTGCATGAAATAATAACGTTATCAACTGTTGCGTCAGCAGATGTAGCGGCTAAGCTTGTAATTAATTTGGCAGGAAGTCCGATTTGTTGGAATTTGCGATCATATTTATAAACATGATTCATAATCTTTTCATAATTTTCATCAGTTATCTTTTCATAAACGTAATTTTGTAAATCAGCAACTCTTAACGGGTCAACCTGACAAAATACTAAAGTATCCCTGAAAACATAATATTTAAGAATGATATCACCAAATGATTTAGGATAATCATCGAACGCCTGAAATGCTAACAAATCATTTACCGGAATAATCATATCAAAAGTGACATCAACTTCTTCATTTGCTTCTTGAAAACTTCTGAAGGGTCAATATATTTACCACATACTGAGTTATCATATTTTTGAACATTATTATATAACGAATGAACAAACTTTTTAACTTTCCTTTCTGATTTTGGTTTATATGTTGCAAATGCGAAAGATTCACGGGCGCAATCCATCTGAAGATAACCGGCATCACCTCTTTCGGTTTCTAC